ATTATATTAAAAATGAATGTTGGATAAATTCATTAACTGATTTTTACAGTGATACAATCATGAATGAAAGAACCCGCAACAGATTAACCAGAGATAAACTTATTGAAATCATAGGTAGGACTGATTTTATGGAAGTAGGAGCAACCATTCAAGAGATGGAAGCAGTATTTAAGCAGTTTAATATTCAAGTTAGAATTTTTAATTTCGTAAATGAACTTATTTACAAATATAACCCAAAAATAAGAAACCGTCATATTAAAACATTTTACGCTATGGTAAAAAAAAACCACATTTATACATTAAACCACGATTTAAGCAAAATACAACAAAAACAAGTAATATCAAAACTACCCACTATAAAGGCACACACTGATTATTATATAAATGAAAGAGAGGAACCCCCGCAATACAAAATGATTAAATGTATAGATGATATACTCAAAATAAAAACTGATGATAAAACAAGGGAAGTATATTTAGTGCCCGAAGATAATGATTTGGCAGAAATATTTTTCCAGTTGATAAATATTGGATATGAACCCAGAATTAAATACACAGGTATTATTGATGAAATTAAAGTCAAATTTAACAAGATAACATATATCATAAAGACTCAAAATTTAATTAAATCATCTAGCGATGGTTGGATCGCAGCAAATAATGAAACTATGTACAACAATATGAATAAAGCAATGTTTAATTTTAATAAGTCTCTATTTATTTTATCTCACAAATCTTTTTATGATGACATTGATATAAAAAATATTAAACGAAACAAGGACTGTAGCACCTTCGGGATTATTATGGGATAAATTTAATTTAATGCGTAAAACTGAAATCGATGAAAACAAGGCATTTACAAAGGGTTTCATAGATATTACTGAAATACCAGTTTTTAATCAGTTTGACAATTGGAAAGAATACAATGATGCAATTAATATTGATGAACTCCACGATCTAACATTATATTATATTCAAATTAACTATCCGAATATACCAAATAAATACAGTATGGAAGGTATTAAACGTAACCATCTTTTGGAGGAAAGTTTAAAATTTAAATCAAAAGAAGAAGTTGAATTCATAATGACAAAAACGTTACTGGGGAATAAAGAGGGCTTAATGTTTAATAAAAAATATAATTTAGTGTATGGTAAGTTTTTAAAAAGTTTATTAATCAATATAATATTAAAGTATTATATTATAAACAACCTTCGTTTATTCATAAAACAAACTATAAGGATATGGTTAATGAACTTTGGAAAACTACTATAGATGAAGATGATAAAAATGATGATATACTAAGTAAAAAGTTAATAGGAAATGTCAATTTTGGATTATTAGAGAAGGGAGAGGCTACCGCGCATCAAAGCATTTTGTTTAAGAGTATTGATGAAGCAATCCATTATCAAACAGAATACGGAGGCAAAATTCATAAGTTATCACAGATAGAAGGCAAAATTCATAGGTTATCACATATAGGTACAGAAGACAAAGAGTGTGAAGAGGAGTATGAAGAAGAGTATAAATATGAAATAGATAGAGAAAATATAAAAGCATCATATTATATATTAAAATTAAAGGATAAAGCAGTATTAAGAAACGGCTATAGATATATTAAAGAACTACTCATGCAACATCATAATTTTAAAATGAACCAAGACATTCACAAATTAATAATCAACGATATTAATGTATATAGTGTGAAAACCGATGCTTTTGCAATTGATTCATACAATGTAGAGAAAGCAAAGCAATTATTAGAATTTCATAATGACATAGGAGGTTGGAAAGTTTCTGGGCGAGACAATGAAATTAATCTTCCTACTGTAAAATATGAAGTTGTTAAGAATGATCTAATAAAAATACCAGTTCATGAAAGTAAAACTATTGATATTAAAGATGAATACGACACTGATAACATTATAGAGATTGTTAAACAGAATAACCCTATTATGATCAGGGGCGAACTACCGGGCACAGGAAAATCATATATATGTCAAAAAATGGTTGATAAAAAATATAAGGTAATATTTATTTGTCCTACTAATAAATTATTACAGGCATTCGAAGGTGAAGCAATGACTATAAATAAGTTTTTTGGAATAAACTACGGCGATGCAAAATTAGAACCATTTGATTTTACAGAATTTGATGTAATCGTATTTGATGAAATTTATTTCAGTAATTTAAATATATATTGGAGAATAAAACAATTTGTAGAGCAGAATAAACACAACACAATTATAATAGCAACGGGAGACACCAAGCAATTAAAACCAGTTCAAGAGATAACAAATACTCGAGACTATGAATTATATACTGACAATATTATAGATAACATTTTTGAATATAATATTTTGTTAAAAGAAAGTAAGAGACTTAACACACAGGAAGATAAGGATAAACTAAGAAATATTAAATTTGATATTTTTGAAAATAAATTACCTGTCATGAAAGTTATTGAAAAATATTTTGAATATACAACTGACATAAGCAATTCTAACAACAACATAGCATTTTTAAATACAACTTGTAAAAATGTCTCAAATGAAATTAGAAAATTAGAAAATAGAAAAGATGAATACGAAGTAGGCGAATTTTTAACATGTAGGGAATATACTAAAACTAAAACATCAGTGTTTAATGTAAATTTCAAATATAAAATAGTTCATATTGGAAGCGATGGAATATTTACATTAAAGAATGTCAAAACCGAAATTTTACAAGCAGTAGAAGTTGCTAAAATAAGAAGCAATTTTATATTTGCATATTGCTCAACTTGTCATTCTGCCCAAGGCAGTAGCATTGATGATACCATAACAATTTTTGATTATAACCATTTTTTAGTAAAGAATTATCCAGAATGGATATGGACTGCAATTACAAGGTGTAGAGATTTAAACAAAGTTAATTTTTATAAATATACAAAAGATATTGATGATGTATTTAATCAAAAATGCATTTTAAGTTATTTTGAAAGAAAAATATTAAACTACAAGGAACAGGACAGGAAAGCAAAAAGAACCATACCTAAAGAAGGTTATGTAAATGCACAGTGGTTTTTAGACAATATAAATAATCAATGCAATTACTGCGGATGCGGTTTGTCTATGGACATGAAAAATGGTAATATAATGACAAATCTGACAGCGCAACGTAAATCAAACGAGTTGTCGCACGAACTGAATAATATTATTCCTTACTGTGTTAGGTGCAATTGTAGTTGTAAATGATAAATACCGTGAGAGATATTAATATTATTTTTAAAATGATGCATGAAAGAGATAAGATATATACACAATTTAATGGTCATCAATTGAATTATTATCCTGAACTTAAGTTATAAAATTCTATCTACCTAACCTTGCCTATAATATTTCTACAAAATTTATGATAAAATATTGTAAGATAATTTATCATATTTTTTGGAATAACATTTTTGAAAATTTATTTTTTTGCGAATTTATTTTTTGAAAAATTACTTTTTTTTTGAGAAATATTATTTTTTGAAAATATTATTTTTGAAAATATTTTTTTTGAAAATATTTTTTTGAGAAATATTATTTTTTGAAGATATTATTTTTTGAAAATATTACTTTTTTGAACATTTTTTTTTATATGAATGAGCTTAACCTTGCCCATGCATCCTACCATCAATAACCATATCATATGAACCACCCTATACTTCTATTTCCACTCAAGCATCCTAACAATGACAAGAATGATGGAATAGAAAATGAGAAAATGTGACTTTTTTGATGGATTTTGAGGTTGAGACTGTTATGAAATGTTTTGAGTGGAAATATGCATAATGAATAAGGATGACGATTTGAATAGTGAAAAAATGGTTGAAAAATGCTGTTGTTGCGTAGGGGGGGGGGCTACGCTAGGATACCATAAAAAGATGGGCAAGGCCCACCCTAACTCCTGGTCGTGCGTTCGCCCCATTCCGAAAGTTGCGACACCGAACACTGCTGTTTTTTTTGGGGGGGGAGGAGAATCTCCAAGCAAACCTGCCATAGGTGCCCTTCGGCTGGTTTTGGTCCGTTTTTCGGAGCCGCTGCTTTTTTTTGGCCAGTGTTTTGTTTGGGCTTGTACGTAGAGGACCTTTGGCGGCTTGGGTGGATGGAGGCCTCAAGCACGCCACAATCCAAATCCAGGTGGGTCAAAAAACCGCGCTTCTGATTCGTGCTGTTTCCTGTCTCCTTGAATGCCCTGGATTGAATCTGACTCAAGTGCGGCGCTCGACCCCCGAGCCGCGGCGACCAGTTGGTTCTTGGTTGGCCCGAAGCTGAAGCCTCAACCAAAAGGGTGAAGCAAGTGGGGAGTTCCCAAAGGGGGCACTATGAAATGGCCAGGGTTTTGATTCAGCATCTTTTGAGCCATTTTCGCACACCTCCCCAACCATTACCCATATTGACCAGACCAGGGATAGTTGCGGGCACATGGTAGGCCATGATAGTCTGGGGAACACGCCAAACTGGCTGGGGGACATGAATCTTCATCAATGTGGATGATGCCCACCAAACACTCCAACCAAGGACATGTCATGCCCTGATATCCGGACCCTTGGCCGTGCATGCCACATGCAGTGTTCGCGCTAGCTGTTTGTGCCCCACTTTTTGCTCACCTTCCACTAGCATGGAACCTAACTCCAGACTCCTGGAATAACATGTTCCTTTCCAAAGCCGTTTGGTGAGTTCCATGTTACTGGGACGGTGCCCGCCCAAAGCTTTCCACTGGAAGTGCCTCCAATGCCGTTTCCCCCTTGATTTCTCTCTCCATGCCAAACCAGACAGCAGAACCCAAACAGATACAACAACAAGCACATGTTCAGCAAAACAAGACCAACACCAAAGGCACAATGCCCATCTTTCAGTGACTTTCTTCCCCCCCACCACGCCCTCCCCTCCCCCCCCCCCTGACCCAAACCCGGCGATTGCCGAGGCCTCAGAGGCCCAGAGGCTGCAGGACAAGCCGTGGCCCCGAAGTTAGCCATGCGCCGCAGTCGGTTGGATGTCAGGGGCCGGAGCCTGAATCGGTTTTAAAGCTTCGCTTTTTTTTCTTCTTCTTCTTCTTCTTTTTTTCCAGATCCACTCACAACCTCGTATATTTTTAGCTTCGCTGATTTAAGTAAAGACCCGCTCACAGCAATGGCCCCTCTCTTCACTTGAAGAAACGAGCAGGGAAGAACCAAAAGGCCTTACGCAAATGGAAGATACGCGGGTGCCTCAAAACAGGGGAACACCCTGACAGGTTGCTGAAAATAAGGAAACCAGCCCCATGCAGGTGCTTGGTTTGCTTTTGGTTTTCCACAAAAGAGCCATCCGAAAAGGCATTGCCTGCTTGCTTTGGCCTGGCTACTTGAAACATTTTTCCAACAGCGCAATATTTGAGAACAAAATGTCCCTGTGGGAAAGAGGAGAACCAACACTTACCGATTCGGGGGCGGCCGATTTGGGCATGAGAAGCACTCTCAGTCGAACCACGTTTTGGCCCTGACACTTCGTTGCTGCCAAGTACTCTTTTTTGTTTTTTTAGATTGTTGGTATAGGAGTTAGTTGATTTTCTTGAGCAGCATCAGCCGGGCTTTGCCCACGGGCCCCAGGGTGAAGCCGCAGTTTGTAGATTCAGGCTCTACCTTACACCAAAAACATGGCTTGGTGCAGAGACCGCTTTTGGAAGACATCCTTTGTGGTGTTGGAAACGGCACCTGTGCGCTGCGATGTTTGGTGAGAGGGCGTATGAGTCATTTGACTCATTTGCCACCTTGCGGCAAAAAAGGAGCCCCCGATTTGTGAGCAAGTTTCCCACCTTTTCCAGGTTGGGTTTGCTTTCAGCACCAGCTGTTGGTTTCATAGTCCACTTTGGCCCTGGATGCCCCGCCCATTTTGGCCACAAACCGTGGCCGAGGCTGGATGGCACCCAGCGGCGGATCTTCGAGCTGCGCGAGGAGCGATGCGCGGTTTGGGGATCGATCCGGGAAGTGGCTGGCCGTGGGCCAAACATGGGGAAGTAGACCAAACATGGGGCTGGATTGACTGAAGCAAGGGGGAAAACATGGACCACCATGCTGTCCAAGGCAAATCGACACTTGGATACTCTTGGTTTCCCCCTTTTGATCTACGTTTTTTCGATCGCAAGCCAGCCCCTTTTTTGAGGGACTTTCCGTCACAACCCCAAAGATTGTCCTTGTGTTCTTGGTGCTTTAAAGACTTTGCCGCCATGACAAGCCCTCCCCCTCCTCCCCCCGGAGGGTCAAACCTCAGATTGGCGGGTTCCTAGAAGGTGGTCGGGAGAAGCTAGGTGTAGGTGGCGGGATTGAGGACGCATCCGGAAGATCGACAATGTTCTCAAGTGGGCCGAACATGAAATCGATTGAATTTGTATGGGTGGATCTGCCGAACGCGCTGTACTAATTCGGTCTGTAGTAATGGATCGCGAAAGCGCACCTTTGTAATCGCTGGTTATTAATCCTATGTTAACATTACGGGACTGCCCCGCCAGAAGTAGATGCGGATATCTGCCCTTTAAACTATTCGCATGCTTCTGAGTAAACTCCTTTGGTATTAGGTTGTCAGTGGTAGGGAACGGAGCTATGTTCGCCAACGTTTGATGTGTCTCACCACAACTGGCATGTCAACCCGTGATTGTGGGAAACAGTGTCTCTGTGATTCCAGGGCAATCTCCTGGGCAATGACCAGGGTGGCATCACAGAAAGGCGCCCTATCCACAACCATGTTCCGACATCCAAGTCCGGTTCTTCTCCACTGCTCTCTGCGCAAAGCCGGACGGCAGCCTCTTGCGTTGAGCGTTGCTGAGCGGACCTTTTGGTTCAACCAATGTGGGGCCATGCGGCTGCAACTAACTTGATGTGATTTTGTTCTCTCTTTCTCTCTTTAATTTTTCTGTCTTTCTCTCTCCTTATCTGTTTGTCATTGTTCTTCATCATGTTTTTTGTTTAACGAATAAAATCAGTTTTTCCCCCCCCCCCCCCCCAACAGCTGAAAGCTTTGAGATCTCAACCCAAATAGGCTCCGGGGTGGTCCGGGGCGGCCCTGAGGTAAGGTTCCACGAGGGTTCCACCAGGGTTCCACCAGGTTCTGCAAGGTAAGGTTGCATGAAGGTTCCACCGCCAGGGTTCTAGCAGGGTTCCACGAGGTTCTGCGAGGGATGGTCCGGGGTGGCTTGAGGTAAGGTTCCATGAGGGTTTCAGGGTTCCACGAGGTTCTGCGAGGGCTGTGGGATGGTCCGGGGGCACAAGGCTTCCACAAGGCTCCACAAGGTTCCGGAAGGGTTCCAGAAGTGTTCTGCAAGGTTCCGTGGTTTGCCCTGGGCAGCAGTGTGTCGCGCGCACGCTGTCCGAAAAGCCATCGGAGGGCTCGGAAGATCGCTTTGCTCATGGGCGGAGCACTAAGCAAAACCGAACTCCGTGGTTTTCAGCACACGTTCGCTGCTTTGTGACTTGCTCACCCGAAATTTGGCTTTGTGGCACATCACATCACATTGCGGGACTCACGGTGCAGCAGAGTAAGTGCTTGGCATTGCTCAGTATTACTTGGCGGGCTTTGGGTTCCAAGTTCCAAGAATTCCACGAGGCTGCAAGGGCTATGGGGTAAGGTTCCAAAAGCGCCCCACGAGGTTTCCACCAGTATGGGGCAGCCCTGAGGAAAGGTTCCAACAAAGTTTCACGCTGAATTCCCACGAAGGTTCCACGAGGACGGCTCGGGCCCAGGTCGGGGCCCGATTGCACCGTCAGGGCCCGATCGGCCCCGATCGGGGCCCGACTCAGTCGGGCTGAGTCGGGCCCCGTCAACTGTACCAAGCTGGCAAGGCCGCATCCCAAGGTGTTGGGGTATAATATGGGTGGCTGGGGTTGCACCACGGCACCATCGGGCCCCGATTGCACCTTCGGGCCCCGACTCTTAGCTTTGCGTTATAAAGTTACAAGGCGGCATCCTCAGCAACACCGGGGCGTTCCGCGAGGATTCTGGGAGGGTGTGGTGCTGTTGGGGGTATCACCTGAGCTTATTTTTCCACATCTGTCTGTTTGATCCTTCTTTATTATTATTTTGTCTGTTTATTTCTTCTTTTTCCCGAAAGCATCGCGAAGGGTTCTTCCGTGCGGAGCCCTTGGACAAGTTACACAGAGCCAAGTTGCACAGAGCCAAGTTGCACAGAGCCAAGTTACATAGAGCCAAGTTACATAGAGCCAAGTTACATAGAGCCAAGTTACATAGAGCCAAGTTACATAGAGCCAAGTTACATAGAGCCAAGTTACATAGAGCCAAGTTACATAGAGCCAAGTTACATAGAGCCAAGTTACATAGAGCCAAGTTACATAGAGCCAAGTTACATAGAGCCAAGTTACATAGAGCCAAGTTACATAGAGCCAAGTTACATAGAGCCAAGTTACATAGAGCCAAGTTACATAGAGCCAAGTTACATAGAGCAAGTGGCACAGAGCCAAGTTACATAGAGCCAAGTTACATAGAGCCAAGTTGCACAGAGCCAAGTTGCACAGAGCCAAGTTACATCATAGAGCCAAGTTCCATCGAGGCAAGTTACATAGAGCCAAGTTACATAGAGCCATGTTACATAGAGCCAAGTTACATAGAGCCAAGTTACATAGAGCCGAGTTACATAGAGCCAAGTTACATAGAGCCAAGTTACATAGAGCCAAGTGGCACAGAGCCAAGTGACACAGAGCCAGGTGGCACAGAGCCGGTTAGGTAGAGCTTGCGTAGAGCTTCGGCGTAAGCAGCTATGTAAGTTAGTTTAGGTTTCGTTTCTAAGGCGCCGGGGCGGGAGTTTGATCATCGCTCGGGATTGCGACCCTCTGCGGAGATTCACGTGGTCGAGGTTCAAAAGCTGAGGACTTTTTACGATTTCTGCGGTGCGCGCGCGACCCTCTGCGGAGATTCGCGTGGTCGAGGTTCAAAAACACAGGGCTTTTTACGATTTCTGCGGTGCGCGCGCGACCCTCTGCGGAGATTCGCGTGGTCGAGGTCAAAAAACTGAGGACTTTTTACGATTTCTGCGGTCCGCGCGCAACCCTCTGCGGAGATTCGCGTGGTCGAGGTTCAACAACTGTGGACTTTACGATTTCTGCAAGCCGCGCGCGACCCTCTGTGGAGATTCGCGTGGTCGAGGTTCGAGGACTTTTTTGCGATTTCTGCGGTCCGCGCGCGACCCTCTGCGGAGATCGTGCGCGTCGAAGCGCTCTCGCTGCGGCGCCGTGCGGATTTGATTTCGTCTCGGCGAACCCTCTGCGGAGATTGTGCGTGTCGAAGCGCTCTCGCTGTGGCGCCGTGCTTTTTTTCTTGCTCGCGAAACGGCCTTTGGAAGTTGTCTCGTGGTTTGCGCGCCTGCTTTCGCAATCCCGCGGTTGCGGGTTCGATTCCCCCCTGGTCCGCGGCAGCTCCGGCTTGAAAATCGCAGCTTTTAAGTACAAACGTAGTACGCGGAGCGTGCTCCTGCAGCTCCGTAGTATGCGGAGCGTGCTCCCGCAGCTCAGGCTGGAAAATCGCAACTTTTAAGTACAAAAATAGTACGCGAAGTACATTCCCACAGCTCCGGCAGCACTTGCGCAGAGCAACTTGCGCAGAGTCACTTGCGCAGAGCAACTTGCGCAGAGCAACTTGCACAGAGCAATTGCACAAAGCACTTGCGCAGAGCAACTTGCACAGACCAAGAGCACATGCGCAAAGCGCTTGCACGGAGCAACTGGCGCAGAGCAACTGGCGCAGAGCACTTGCGCAGAGCAACTTGCTCAGAGCACTTGCGCAGAGCAACTTGCACAGAGCACATGCGCAAAGCGCTTGCACGGAGCAACTGACGCAGAGCAACTTGCACAGACCAACTTGTACAGAGCACATGCGCAAAGCGCTTGCGCGGAGCAACTGGCGCAGAGCAACTTGCTTGCGCAGAGCAACTTGCTTTCGCAGAGCAACTTGCACAGAGCACTTGCGTGCAGCAGAGCAACTTGCGCGCAGCAGCCTGGAACAATGCAGCTTGCGCAGACCACTTCGTGAGAAATCGCGCGGCGCAGTTCGAGAGGAAAGTAGGATGATGAGGTGGAGCTCTCATGTGACCATACACACTGAGCATGCCGCGCGCAGACACGCTCGCCGCAGCGATGTAAAAAGGTGTCTCCGCGGCTGGATGAGCACCTGTGGAAAATGCTTTCGGGCCAATTGTCCTCTAGTTATGTTTCTTTCAGTCTCTTTCTTTTTGGACTGTCTTTCTATCTTTGTTTTTCTCTTGGTTGTTGTTGTTGTTTTTTCTTTATTGTTCTTTTTCCCTTTCTTCCTTTTTCTTTCCTTCTCTTTATTTTTCTATGTTTTTCTTCTGAATCTTTAGTTTTCTTTCTTCGTGTTTGTCTGTCTGTCTGTCTGTCTGTCTTTCTTTCTTTCTTTCTTTCTTTCTTTCTTTCTTTCTTTCTTTCTTTCTTTCTTTCTCTTTGTCTCTCTTTGCTCCATTTGCCCGTCTTGCTTTCTCTTGTTTTTTGTCCTTCATATCTTTGTGTTGGCGTCTTTGTCTTCAACCATTTTTCTCTTCTCCTGTTTCCAGGTTGTTTTGTGCGCATTTGCTTTGGCTGGTTTCTCGGACAAGGTAAGTTGTTGCAGACTTCCAGCCGTCTACTAAGTACCCAGCACTCATCATTCCCTGGTATCCTTTTTCAGTGCGGTCACATTACCTGGAGCTGCCCCCCCCCTCCCCGCCCCGAAGAAAAAAAGAGGCGGGGACATATGTTGAACTGGATGAATCATGCGAAGTCATAGAGAGGCGTTTCCCAAAAGTGCTCCGAATCCCCCAAAAATGACAACCCCCCCGTTGTAGTTCACAGACGTTCAATCCTGGGCGTGCAGGTTCATTCCGGGATCGGTCATCCCGCAAGTCTTCAGGAGATGGCCAAGAGTGGTGGCGTGAACGCCGCGCTGGACAACTCAAAGGCACAACCCCGCACTTTTGTTTTCGACATGGCGGGGGAATTGCCAACCTTCCATTGGGCCGAGTAGTTACCATTTGATTTTCCTTGATTTGCAAGCCCAGACACTTTAGCCCGTTTAGCAAGGGTCAAAGACAAAGAACGCCAGACAGGCCTGGCCTGCGTTGCCCTGTTCGTGACGAAGGGGGGGTTCTGTTGGATCTAAAACATGTAGTTTGGAAAAAGTTTCCCTTGCCCACCCAAAGCCGGACTGAAATTGCGTTGGTTTTCTGATTCAGGAGAAACTTTGGGACCTTTGTACCCCGTAGGCAGTTTCGCCGTGGCCCAGCTTTCCTTTGGTTGCTGACCCGCCCGCCTATTTGGCTGGGGATACTGCTGGGACGCCACATTCACAGAGAGACAACACCTAGGGCCTCACGTCGGACAAGCCTGGGCGCTTCCCAAGAAGGACCCCCCAAGAAAGCACCGCACGACGGGGGCACGTGCGATTGCAATCATTGAAACGTGCAGAAACCTTAGGGCCCGGGGATGGAGCTCCAACAAAAACCCTTGGCACATTGCCATTTGGATTGGTTGCTTTTCGGGGGAATGGGGGGGGGGTTTGCCGTTTCTTCACTGTAGCTGGTTCAGGTTGTGTAGTTCATCTGTCGTTCTTGGCTTTGTAATTACTTTGGGTGGCTGCAATTTGCGGATAGTTCTGTCTACTCTGCCAAGTGTTGGGAAGGTTTCCAGCACCCCACCAGCAATCGGAAGGACACCTGATTGAGACTGCCTCGTGGATTGCGGCAGCAGACCGCGTTCGCCTTTTGACAGTTCCCTTTTCTACCCTTCTGAAGCTTTGCCTTTTATGGTTCTACGCTGCACAAGGTTTTCTTTTCTGCTTCTACCCACACTGATTGCCAACTGGGCTATAGCCAGGCCATCGCGAAGCAGATCCGCATCCTGGAGAACAGGCTCGATAAGGCTGGATGGGAAAGCAGCTTTGGCTCCGTGGACTGTTGTGCGTGCATAGATACATGCTAATGTATATGAATGCATGCATACATGAACATATGTTCATATTTTCACACACACACACGTAGATAGCATTATGTTTATGTATACATGTACACGTGGATGAGTGCACTTTCGTCTTCATGCATATGTGGCATGCTGGATGTTCGAAACGCACAACAGCCAGGGACCACTCATCCCCTCGTGAATTTGTTTGTTTTGCTTGCTTGCGCCGACCCAAGGACTCAGCTGCAATTCGGGTTGTCATCTAGGGGGTTCTCCTTTGGAGGATTTTGACCCCTAACCAAGTGGGTGGACACAGCCAGGACCAGCCCATGCCCACAACCAAGTGGGTGGACACAAATCCCGCCCTGTTTTCACCAAACGGGTCCAACCAATGGGAAGGTCTTGCCATGACGAACTAGGTATGGCGGCAAAGCCAACGGTTTTGGCCCTTTACAGGGAGTCCCCTTTGTTTGGGACTCGGTTTTGGGGGGCTGAGTTAGGGTCTGCTGGCCCATGGCCAACCCACGACCACGACTGTCCGAGGGCCTCCAGAAGTTCAACGAGGCCATCGCAGCCAACCGCGCCCTAAGGGAGCAGCGGGGGGCTCAGAGCCGAGTTGGAATCCCTCCCCAAGTCAGATGGCTATGAATTCTAATGGTTGGAACCCCCCTCAAAAGTGGTTGGTGGACATAAATCCCCACCTAAATGATGCCCACCAAAGGTCCCTAATAAAAAGTCATAGGCATATGCGTTTTGTTTTTTGAGAAGATGCCCTTTTTTAAGCTGGTTGAAAGGGACCCAAATGCAAAGTTGCCATTTTGTTGAGCGGTAAATGTCATCTACAGCGAAACGTATGGAGACAAAACAGCAACTCCTCACCATGCGGGAAAGATGAAAAGGACTCTGGTAGACTGAAATGTGCGAATGGAATCAAGACCACGGTGACTGCGAGTTGTTTTTTGCCCGAGCCGGCTCCAATTTCCTTGGGGTCACCGGCACCGACCGGTGACCGCGCGCACGAGGATTGACACCCTGCGCCGGGAGCGCGTGGCCTGCACCCTCAGGGACTTGTGGGACTGATGTCCATTAGTTATCCTTTCAAGACTGTCTTGGAAGAAGGGGTTGCTTGCTTGGGTTGGGTTGGGTTGGGTTGGGTTGGGTTGGGTTGGGTGGGGTGGGGTGTTGTTGGGTTGGGTTGGGTTGGGTTGGTGGGTTCCTGGGTTCCTTGGTTCCTTGGTTCCTTGGTTGGTTGGTTGGTTGGTTGGTTGGTTGGTTGGTTGGTTGGTTGGTTGGTTGGTTGGTTGGTTGGTTGGTTGGTTGGTTGGTTGGTTGGTTGGTTGGTTGGTTGGTTGGTTGGTTGTTGGTTGGTTTGTTGTTGGGGGTGGTTGGTGGGATCTTCATGAAGAAGGGCCAATCCAGGAAAGAGAGAACAGACGAGCATCTTGAATTGCTCTCACAACCCTTCCAAGAACCCCATAGACGGTTCTAATAACCCTTCCGTGTGGGGAAACAAGGCATGGGCTTCCAAAGCACAGATTCCACATGGCTGTCAAATGTACGGCGCCCTTGCCGGAACCCCTTGACACTTGGCGGTGCCAAGTCTTCCACAAACGGCCCCCACCCTTGGCCAGGTGACTTCACGGCTTTGGGGCAGACGTCATTTGGGTATTTATCAAAATAAACCCACCAGGGGACCGCAGGTTTTAGTTTTTGGTTCCATTTATCAGGGTTCCATTTTGGGTAGGCATTTTTGACCCGCAGCCATTTGGCTGAGCACCTTGCCTTAGGTCTTCGATGACATTTACCGAAAGCTGGAGAATGAGCTGCAGCGCGCCCAGGATTGCACCTGCCAATGTTCACGGCTTATGTTCGGACCTCGTGTCATTTTAGCGCTCTCTTTTTGCTCTTTGGGAGCCAGCTGCTTACTGAGGCAGCAAAAGAAGAAGGAGATGGCAAACATCATCGAGCAGGCCGCATTTCAGCAGTTCGCTGAAACCGCCTGCCACTGCACACCCACACCGCGATAGTCTGGCCCAGACAGCAAGGGGGAGCATCTTTTTGGATGGTTTAAAAGGACGGTTTTTGAAGGGTCCCATGTCAATCTGCCGAAATTTAGGGAGCCTGCCTTTCTCACGAGCAAGGGCACTGAAGAAGCCGGGATGTTTCCGAACTATCTTGAGCCTCCTGTTTTTAACCCACAATCCGCAAGAAGTACACTGATTCTCAGTCATCCGCATATGTGCTTGGAAGGAGCTACTTCCGTCACTGTTTTCGTCCGCGCCTCTTCTGGTAAAAGCACTTGACCATCAGCAACGCTCAGTTGATCAAGACCGTCCCCCGACCCTTTTTTCATGGGCCGTACCTTGGCGGGTGGAGGTCCAGTTTCACACATCAGCTTTTCCGGCGTGTTCAAGGTGGCTTCCTGGGGGGGGACGCAATTGAGGAAATATCAGAACCCCAAGCTGAGGAATGAAGAACCGAAACCAACATGTTTCGGGGACCCTAGATCACGTAGCTCGCGTCTTACAGGTGAAATATCTTGGACCCCCCATCACCAAAGTCTTGCCCCGGTTTCCGTGGATTCGCCCAAGTGCCTCCAATTTCCCCATGTCTGGCATGTGCTCCATTGGCCTCCATCAATTGATCATCTTTTACGGCCTGTTTTGAGTTGTTTTCTAGGTTCTTTTTCTCTGAGGTTTCCCTGAGCCTAAGCCAATGGGTCAGCTCCAAACAAGGGACACCTCTAAATGAGCGATTCGGTCCATTCAAGTGGCATCCTCATGATTTGCCATTACCCCGGTTCAGCGACCCCAGTGGATTGGACAATGATCTTTGGAGCCAAATGAACCGCCATATTCTGAGGTTCCAGCATTGGAACCAAAACAAAACATCGCAGATCGTCTGGAATTGGACACCTCTCAACATTGCTTCACTTGGTCTATGAGTCCTGGGCCCTTTATTCCGTGCAATCTTCGGAGAATCTGCTGTGGTCTGTCCTTTGTAGTCTTCCCCAAGAAGGTGCGTTGTAGTTTTTGTTTGGGGGGGGGGAAGTTCGGGCGGCAGAACCTGAAAAACCTCTTCGCTTCGGGCGTCGCAGGCCAACGCCGCCTACGAGGCGCGGGACTCCGCGCAGGCGCAGATGGCGGCTCGGCGGAGGCTTTGGATGTCGGGGGAGTGCGGGTGCTCGAAATGGATCTTGGTGGTCCTTTTGGTTTCCCTTTCACACCGAACAAGGGGTACCCTCAACAAAAACAGACACCCATTTGAGCGGGGGGATAAAGGGGGCCGTTTTCTTTTTTTAGTAGATTGTTCTTATGTCCTCTTTGGGAATACTGAATACTCTCATCAGCTCTAGCTGCAGATTTGGACGGCCACCAGCAAGGGGGCGGAAAGCGACTACTCTTTTGTCTAAGGCATTTCACCTTGTTTCTTCTTTTGGATGAGCTTCCCTTTGAAATTACACAAACCGGCAGTGCGGGGACTGGGAGTTTCTCAGAAATAGGACATCCCTTAACAATGTGCAAAGCAACCCATGTGTTTTGGAACTGACTGTTTGTAAGTCACGAGGGATGGATATGTGGCTTTAGCGGATGATTCAGGGTAAGACAAGAGGCTTTGCTACTTTTTGGGAAGCAAAGAGGCAGAGAGGGTGATCGAGGGGGGGGGGAACGGGTATCATGCCAGCAATTTGCATTCAGGATCATTTTGCATGCACTCTAAATGCGTCGCTCTGATTGGCTCAGACGTAAAACTCAGACGATGCACATCTTTGGGCGGTGGCCTATCTTGCCGCTTTGCTATGCTCCACAAATGGCCAAAGCAAAAGTAGCACATCTAGCTGCTGGCACGTTAGCACACCAAACTTCTTTTGGAGACCAATTGCCCGCAACTGAGGCTTCGCTAAAGCAGCAGGCGGATAAGGAGCACGCAGAGTTTGAGAAGGAGCCGCGCGTCGTTTGAGCTCGAGGTTCCTGGTGGTTTTGACAGGTCGTGGTCGCGGTTTACTTTTTGACCCCTCTGTTACTCTGTTTCTGGGGAGATACAGGAACGCCCAAAAAGGATTAGGAGTTCTACCTTGAGGGTCCAAAGATACCCGATGAAAGCTCCGCGAATCCATTGGGATTTCTGCAGTGATCCGTCCCCGGTTTGCGGAAGGCTTTGGTGCTTCAGAATGGTTCGACCTTGGGGGAATCAGCATGGTATGTGTCAAAATAGATGTGCCTTTCGATTTCCCTTCAAGCCAACTGTTCCCCCCAAAAAGAATTACCCTCACACCAACACCCCCGCCTATGGAGCCCTATCGCTCGTTGCCGCCAATGGAACTCGGTCACTAGGAGTGGCGTGAACTCGGCCGCCTCATCGAGAACGACAAGCGCAGCTGAGCTCAAGGGTCTGCTGAAAGTAGATGCGCCACACCCATTGGCCACGCAACGTTGAGGTTGCCGTTGCTGTTTAGCTGTGAGTTTCAGTGGAGACCACCTTCCACTTGAGAGTTGATTGTGGATGATTCACATTCGGCATTGGTTTTCATACGGAACGGGGGCGGGAGAGAGACTTGCATGCTCACATTGCCTAGGTATGAAGGAGTTCATGCGCACAAAGGCCGGGCTACATGCCGTGCATTGGCAGAGCAAGCTTGGTTTTCTCGGGGACCCGATCCGGTCCGCTTTCAGGGCTGCTCTGAACCTCCAGATGACCCAACCAAAAAGATAATCAGAAGGCAGGTTTGGTTTCTTTTGGTTTTCTTTCCTGGGAGATCAACTTTCTACGAGTCATGGGAGCAGCCCAACGAGTTCTGCGTGGCCAACACGAGTCGATGTTTTTTTGCCTGAGGTGCGCGGGAACAAGGAGGACGGCCGGTTTCCCAGAGCTGCGAGTTCTCTTTGCTCTCCGCCTTCGTGTGCTGAATTTGGGAGGGACATGCTGGACGCTAAGTCTCCCCAGGTTTCCATGTTTGTTGTGGGGAAAGGCATATCTTGCCGTTGCTCAGAGGATGAGTTTGGATTTTGATAGCTTGAGATGTCGAGGAAAGGAGGCACCAGGCGACATGGTCAAAGATCGCTGACCAGTTGGCAACTCTTGGACCAGCAAGGATCAAGGGAGGCAACAGCGTACCACACCTTGGATTACAATCCTCGGTCTGTTACTCATGGGCTAATCCAGATAATACATTTCTATTTCGTGCCATTTTGTTTGGTTTCCCATCAGTGAACCAGCATGGACGCCTTCTACGCCTCTCACAAGGGCGTTGCCTAAGGCGATACCAAAGAGGAGGACAAGCACAAGAAGAAGATCACAAAGCCACGTGCTGAGAATCCGGGAGAATGGCAAGCAATGGCTCCCAATGCTTTCAGGGCAACACGCGAGGACCCTTGACGTAGAGGTTTCCAGCGCAACATTGGGGGACAACATTGGGAACTGCCGGATTGATAGACCTGGAATTGACAGGGGGGTCACCTGCTTGCTATTGCTCTGCAGGGGCACCCGGTTCATGTTCCCATTGAAAGCCTTTTGCTTCTGAGCATACTTATTTCCCACTTTTCTGGACTCGAGATACTTATTAGATTTGCCCTCCCACCAACAAACACGGAAACGCGTGAGATCTTGTGACACTGTCTTAACATTCCCAAACCGCCTTTGAAAGACTCTTTTTCTTTGGTAAGGGGTTGTGCGCCAAGCCTTGTTTGGGTGGGAGGGTGTTTGTTTGCTACTCGAAGAATTGGGCTCGACTTGTTGGTTGTCACCCGGATTCGGCGGGCTAGGCACCTCTTGGAAGATTCTGTGTCGCGATTGTCAAATCAGAACCTCAGTTGTCCACCCGGATTCCCTTTCGAATGGAAAGCACTGTCAATCTCGGTTGTCCACAACAGGAGCCGCAATTGAAATTCGTACCGCCCAAATGAGTATGTTTGGATATTGAAGGGAAACCAATAGGAAAACCGTTTTTGGCGGGGCTACGCTACTGTATGTTAAGACACATGAATTCCCAGATCCAAAAGACATGAACGCCTGGTCTGAACCCCTAGTCTATGGGTTAACGTTAGTTATGGCTCGGTTATGGGACATCAGCCCTGCATTGGGGTCCAAAATTGCCATGGTTTCATATATGGACCTCTCCGCCCTCTGCCTTCAAGCGACAGCCGAGCCAGGCACACCTGGGACACGACCAAGTCCCTGGTGACAATGACCTCCAATCAGGACAAGGCTGGCGAGCGATAGGTGATCATGGCTGGGCGCGTTGGTTTTTCGGAGGGCTCCCTAAAACTAAAGGGACGCCACCAGTTTGCGGGGGAGGGGGGGGGGCCTATTTACGACACCCAGGTGTCCCTTTGTTTCAGGTCAGTTTGCTTGAATGTGGAGGGCACCGGTATCAGTTTGGTTCTAATCATTTGCTCAGTGTTTCGCACACCCACCACGACGCGGCTGACACGTTCACGAGAAACACGTTGGTGGTTGAAGGGGTACAGTAGGTACGGTAGGTTGAGTAGGCACGCTCCTGCAACAATCTCAATCGTGGACTGATGCTTTTGAAAGACTATCATTTTGATCATCTATGCAGAGTCGACAATCAATGGGGCGCTTGTGTTCCATTTTGTGTTGCTTTTCTGGTCGCTTTGGTTTGCCCCACTCTAAAGGGACCAAGTCAACAAGCCCCATATCCCCTGTTTGTTTCCTGCTTGGCAGAGATTGATATTTTGTGATATGGCTGTGGGTCAAAATAGGTCGCCAACATTGAACCCTGGTAAGTGGAAACCTGGGCTGAAACCTGCGTTCCGATTGGCATCTGTGGGGCTTCCGGGGACCCGCCAAGGTGGCCAGCTACGAGGAAGCCTTCGCTCGCATCCAGGCTCGGCCATTTGACCACGCTCGACGAGTTCCTGGATGGGTTGGCCTTTTCAGCCCACTGAAAATCCCAGGACCCCCTTGTGTTGCTGAGGGGAGCTGACCCTTGTTTGGATGCCGGGAATCGACCTCTGAGACAGACCCATGGTATGTTTCGGAAGCCCGTTACATGTGCCCTTCAGCATCACACCAAGGAGAGGCTTACTTCAGCCCAAGAAGTGGGTGGCAGCCAAAAGATTGGCCGACTCCAGTTTTTCATGTGCAAACATACTAGAGGTTGGGCAGGTGTTTTTGTTTGAAGCTTCGACCTGATTTGTTCAGTTGCTTTAGGGGTATACAGTCCCCTTGCTCAATCGCCTCACAAACCACCCACCAAAGACTGCCTGCCCCACTGAACTCAGGTCCATCTTTGGCATTTTGCCTTGTTCCGAGGCTCGTTAAACCAAATGTGCCGATGTTTTGTGCTTGCAAGCTTTTCCTGCGGCAAGGCTCGTGCCTCACTCGACCACCCGGGATCGAGTGCGGATTCCATTCGATCCCTTGGCCAGCCAATGGTCTTTTCCATTGGGTTTCGCTTTCAAGCAAATCCAGACAGGGTTCCACAAAACACGCACATCCAACTCTCGGGGCATTCCCTCCTGAGCAAAAAAAATATCGCCGCCTGCGCGGCTCTGCGGCCAGGCAGCCACAGGGATTTGCGACATCGATCAGCTGGTGCAGAACTTCATTGATGCAGAGGCCAAGGGTTGAATGTGGCAGGGGGGGCGGTTGGGGGGCTCAAAGACAGGTTCCGTTTTTCACGGCTCGCGGCCCTCTTGCAACACCAGGGTGGTGCCACAGGCTTCACCAAGCCAGTGCCCACTTGACACTGAGCGCCCAACCAGTTCATGAAGCTTCAAAGGTTTTGCAGTCATCCCAACTGACACCAGAACCTCTGATTGAAATGGCACTGGAGGTTTCCGGTCCCACAGTCCACAGCCAGCTCCAGTTACCGAGATGCTCGGAGAATTCCGGCTTTCGGGCAATAGCCCTTGCATTCCGGGACTCGTACTGGGTGCTTAAGGTTGCTGACTCAACAACATGTCGGCTTGGACGATGTCAGTTTTTTTTTCTTTTTCGTTCGGATGGTTTTCTGGTATTTGTTTTCAGTTCGGCAAGAACAGGGGTGCGCGATTTCCCTTTACCCTGTCTGGAGCTTCGGGCACCCGACCACAGGATACAAACTTCTCTCTCTTCAAGTACAACAACGAGCTCAGCGCGGAAATCGAGAAGCTGGAGCAGCAGATTGCCGAGTACAAGGAGGAGTGCGCCCGTGCAGCCGAGAAAGAAAGGTTAGTAAGGGGCAATCCCAACGATAAATAGCTGCGGCCGCCTTCTTAATTCTTCACACGGTTCCGGGTAGACCATTTTGCTCCCAGTCACCCTGCACCAAAACGTCAGAAGTTTGGTAAATTTTGATTCTGGGGCTTTCCGATTCTCGATTCATGGCTTCCTGTGGGCGGCACGGACCTTTCTGCAGGGCAATTGCCATGACCTCACAGAGGGGGGGTTGCTATGAAGGGTTCCTTTTTTTGATCCCTGTGAGGCTGGTGAGCCGGATGCGGATGGGGGTTGGGGATATCGGTAGGTACATCACGCTCAGTGGCCAGAGCAGCCGGAAGGAGGACACTGAGAAGGCCGTCGATGGGGGGTCCCCTTCATTTCCTTTCTCAGGTTTCGAAGACACCTGGGGGGTTTGTAGGTGACTATGAGCTTTCATCACGGAAACAACATGAAGGGATCCAATGCAAGCTTTGAGCATGGCCCCACTAAGGGACTCAAGGAATACAATCAGGAAAGCCTATGGTGAACCTTGGCTCAGCACATGGAGGGCTCACTGAAACTCACGCCCAAGCCTAGGGATATTGTCTGCTTTTTGCCAGCATATCCTGACAGTCCTGACAGGCTCATTGTCATGTGTAGGGATGGCTGGCAGCCTTCGAATAGTCAAAATGGACTTTGACCATCTCGTGAAGGGGTACCACAGTTTCGTCAACGGCCATAGGCGTCCCCATTGTGGGGACTCGACTCGACTCCTGGTTGGGGCTCGGTTTCTTGCAATGATGTCTGGGCCCCTTTCTTTTTCTCAGTGGCTGTTTGAGAGCGGTTCCATAGCTCGGGCAGTTGCCAAGAAGAGAAGGGGAGGGGCCAATCTTACTCTGCAGTTGCTAGACTTCATCCCTGTTCGGAAGATCATTCTGGAGGGAAATGGCTGCTTTTGCTCCGCTTGGGGTTTTGAAGCGAGCCAGAAACTGGGTGCTTGCCCTTTTGCGCCAGGCGAAGATCCTCGAGACCTTGGAGGAGAAGTGGAGCCTTGGCTGAAAGGGGCGTGTCCACTCAAAGTGGAAGTGCCCCCCCCTCCCCTGCTCTGCAGACGACTTTGAACCAACCCATTTGAAGGGGCCAAGCACACCCAAATCACATTTCTGCGCACAAAATGAGCTGGATTGCTAGTGAAGAATAAGCACCCTAAAGGAGACTTGGGGATAGATATTTGTTGGTGTCAACCGTCAACTGGCACGTGCGGCTTGCAGGGGTCTGGCCACAAGGGCGGACCCCTAGGCCAAATAGGGCAAGATAAGGGCCATTGAGGGACATCGGATGGTTTCCCGCGGATGGATTTCGGATGGTTTCCCCATATTTTGAGCCGGGCGCCTGGACACACGGGGAGCCCTCCGAAACGGGTGTAAGCCGTCTCCTGTTTGAGGTGGGGTGTGCTCCACCCCTGTTTTTTGGGGTAGCCCCTTGTTGGGCTTAAAGGGAAGCCCAAAACATAAAACACCCGCCAGTTTGGGGGGACTGAAAAAAGGCACACCCAGGTTCACCGGCGCCTATTCCCAAGAAAATGCACCCATCAAACTCCTTTGAGCGAGGAACGACATCGACCGCAAGGCCATCACCTACGAGGTGAAGCACCAGGCGCGCTTGCCCGGCCCTGCGGGCTGAAGCTGGTTTGCACGAATATGGGGGTTTATCGAAATAAGAATCGGTTTTTGGGTTTCCTTTAAATGCCAGCTTAAAGGGGTTCTGATAATAAGAATCGGTTTTTGGATGTCCTTTGACTACCAGCTTAAAGGGGTTCTGCATGTTGAGAAACTCCGTGCTGGGCGCAGATTTGCACGTACCCTTTTTTGGTTTGTTTCATAGGGAAACCAAAAAGAGAACCACCACGTTGCTCCCCCTGTTTGGCCAGAAACACAATTGGTGACTTGTGGCGTCGAATTGGGGTTGGCTAATTCATCAACTTGATAGGAATTGTGGTCATGTGTAAGGGTTCCTGAGAGCAATGATCACTGACAGCCAGCTCACCCGTTTGGGGACCCATGGCTCAGAGCCAATTAGCGTGAGAGTGTGGTTCATGTTTCAGTGGGCTGGGGGCGTTGGGTTTGTGGCAAACCATCGGGTGGAGAAGTTCTGGATGGACGAAGCAAATAATTTAGCCAAACCAGCACCGGCTGAACTATGTTCAAACCGACGGGATTTCTAACAATCAAAACATGCTCAAACTGATGGATTTCCTTTTCAAAACGACGTACTATAATTATAACGAACATGTTTTTTTCTCATGGCCATCGCTTTTTAGCAGATCCTTTAGTATTGTTGCATCTGAGTTGTACGAAGCAGGTCTGTTCGTTTGCATTCAACAACTACCACTTTTTTTTTAAAAGAGAGAATCGAGTGGCCCGACGCAACGTCGAGAGCCTCTACCGTCAGGAGTCGCAGCAGACCTTGTCCCACATCAGGCGCTTCGAGTGTTTCAGTTTTTTTTTTTTTTTCCGTGTAGGTGTTGCCAAGAAAACGGTTTAGGGGATGCCTAAAGATGGCGTCCATTTGTGTTCCCCTTCAGATAGTGAACCCGGAGTTCTCTACTTTCAGAACTGCACCTGATACGACAATGGCCGCTTCAAGAGGACGTTATTTGTCCAGGTATCCTCCCACACCTGTGCAATGCCATGTATCACTTTTTACCCCAGCAATTTCCGCTGTGGCTTCCATGAAATAACAAGTCTAACAAGCAAGCAGTGACACCCATGTGGGTTTGAGGTAAGGCTATCGGGAGGCCTCCCTGTGAAGAATTCGTTATGGGGATGGCATATCTCCCCAGTGTTGTCATCAGATGTTGACGAAATGGCGGCACTTCCCTCCCGGGGGGTCCTGACCACTTCGTAAAAATGCGGGCTTTCAGTCGACGCCCAAACGAGTCCGGGGAAGATGCTCTAGCGCAGCAAACGAATACACAACAAGTGCCATAAGCCCACAAGCACTGTGTTGAAGCACGGGACTCTGAGCAAGATATCGCGATGATTGTCATGGATGCAATGCCTTCTTTGCCATGGACGACATGGCCTCCCTCCTGGTTTGAGGAAAGCAAGTGAGCCTTTGCCATCAATCGGTGTGCGACTAATTGTCGGGGATGCGGACAATCTGCATGTGTCAGTATTCGCATCTCACGGCGATTGGTGATTGTGATATGCTTTCTTTTGGAGCGCGCGATACATGCAACGCTACACATGACAAGGCGTGCAGTTGCACTGCATGGAATCCTCTACTCCAACCGGCACCTTTCCAATCCCCTTTCCCCGGATGCCGATCAGTCAGCATGAGAGTTTGCTCACTCCCTGAGTTGGACTTTAACCTTTTTGGGAAGACCATTTTAGTGGTACACAACAAGTTGCTTTTTCTTTCTATCCACTCGATCGGAAGTGAGTTTGAGGGAGGGAGGCCATCGCTGCGATTGCTTGGGCCATCACGCGGCAAATGAAGGGTTGACGGCGGATGGCCCGTGTGTGCCAGGCACGGTGTACTAATTCGTGGCGCACCATCCTTGCAGGCACCAATACGATAAAGCAAATCCTGTGCGACAAGCAGCGTGATACGTCATGAAACAGAATGCGTGCAACTCTATGTACATATATACATACATGGCTGACTATATTCATATATATATATATACATATACAACACTCACAACATGGCTGACAATATGCACCATAGTTTCACTCAAGTATGGCATAGACAGCTCAGCCAGGACCTGCATCGAGTCCATCTTCCGGCGCCTGGGGTGCAGCGCCGAGGACTTCTCGGCCCCGATCTTCTCTCGCCTGACGCGTTCCAAATGAGCTTGCTGAAAACCCGGGTGGGGGAAGGTTAAGGGGCAGTCCCAGCCAGAAATAGTTTTTTGGCCGCCCTTTAGTTTCCTGATGTGGATTTGAGTAGACAAAGTAGACAAGTTTAATATCAGGTTTTGATTGAGACTGAGTTGTAGAGAGTTGTGGTTTTCGCGCGCGCCATGGATGAATGTGGAACTCAATGAGCCATCCTTTTTGGAGGAAGCTGCTTTCAGGGCCACCTTTCTTGAGTTCCATGTTGGTCATTTCCTTTGATACCAAGGGATTCCCGGATGGGACAAGGGTGGGTGTCTAACCTGGCAACGCCGGTTCTCGACAAGTGTCATAAGGTGTATTGGTTTGCGACCTCGCCCATGGTCAAGTTGAACCATTGTAGTTGTTTCACGCGGCTCCGGGCACATCTCAGAAGACACATAGATAGGTAGATAGGTAAATAGGTAGGTAGACAGCTAGATAGGTAGGTAGATAGCTAGATAGGTAAATAGGTAGCCAGGTAGCCAGGTAGCTAGGTAGCTAGGTAGCTAGGTAGCTAGGTAGCTAGATAGATAGTGAAGAGAGCTGGAGGGAGAGCATTATAATTTTGGGGTCCCGTTCTTGTTTCAGGTTCACCCAAGGTTCCTCCGCATGTGTTTCAGGTTTCTCTGGTTGAATCATGCAATTCATCACATTCGTCCAACAGCGACCTTTTTTTCATTTTTTCGTTGACCCGTTTTGGCGACCATTTTTGGTCAATGTCTCAACAAAAACGCCTGCTTCGGCCATCGCTCGCAATGAGCCCCGAGCAGGATCTGCCCTGTGGGTGCGGCAGTGGCATCTCCGAGGCCAACATGATGGTGTCCGGGGCCCAGGCATGTGGCCGGTGCAAGAGACAAGCGGGTGACATGAAGTGAAGTGCTTTTTTTGCGATTTGTGTTTTCGCTTTCACAAGCAAACATTATGAAGGGTGTGCTTTGCCCCCCAAGATGGCTTTTCCCTGAAGAATCAACTGGGTGCCTGGGCTTCTCTGAGCACCATCCATTCGTAGTCTGGTGGATTGATTGCAAGTCGTGGGTGTTTCTAAATATCGGGGCTTTCAAAAAGCCACTGGTCCCACTTTGTTCCCCTGAAAAAGGACCCTGTCCGGGCAATGGCATTTTCAAGAAAGTGCCCTTTTGGAGGCCGTCTGAAATGCTCACCCATGATAGACTTGTGTTGAACTTTCGTTGCTGAGTTGATTTGCTTTTGCGCAGATCAGAGATCTCAGGGGCTCTTGGATCAACAACCACCGGTGCTTATTTAAGCAAGCATCCCGCGGGTAGAAACACGTGGTCACACTGTAAATGGGAGCGTCACGGGTATGATTGATGTCTCGCTGCGAACCTGCCATGTGCGATGTTGGTGACTATACATTGTTCCCTTTTGATGTTGCAGAGAAATGGTGATGACTGGTCGACAGGTATGCCTTTTGTTGTGATCTTTGGCGCGTACCGAACGTGCACCTGGAAGAACTGAGGCCAACGCAAAAAACTCAGCATTCTCCAGAAAAGGAAGCACCTGCAGGGGGAATTGCCAGATTCCGCCAAGAAAAATACTAAGTTGTCGGTGAATGAAGGCTCCAACTTGTGATCCTGTGGACTTGCAGTTTCAGGTATCTCGCCATCATCGAGCAGCGAACCAATGAGCTGCTGAAGATGTATGACTCCCTCAAGCAGGCGCCTTTTGGATGTGTTGCTTCTCGATTTTGAGCAGAGCTGCGCCGGTGGCTCACGCCCAGAGCTCATCGTGCAATGCTACATGCCACAGGTACACCACCGCTGGGCAGAGAGCAAACCACATACGTCCCTCTTTTGGGTTTTTGTGCCACGGGATTGCTGCGCTGAGTGCCGGGTTGCGAAGCTAATGTTGACATACCTCACTATGTCTCTCTGTTTTGGCCTGCATTGCACTGCGTCAATCTGCTTCAGGATGATGATGAGTACGAGAGCACCAGGCGGACTTTCTGTTTTCGAGCATGCGTCCTTCGCTTTTGCCATTGCAAGGCATGCCGGTATGCCTCAAGGTCAAAACAGATGATTTCAATGTCAATGTTTTACCACGAGCTGAGAGAAGCAGCAGAGGGTTAATGTCGTTTTGAGGCCGCTTCCAAAAAGACACCTGGGAAGCAAAGGAACCTGGCGGAGAATGCGGTCCAATTGGCTGTCTACCGAGTTAGCTGAGTTGTTCCCCCCTAGCCATACCATTGATACCTTTTGAATTGACGCACTTAACAAACGCTTCTAGGTTCTTTCTGACTTTAGTGGCTCAAACACCTTGGCCAAGCAACTCGCCCGGAGCACGCGAGTTGGGTCGTTGAAATGGCACATGATGTGTTGATTGGCCATTTTTGATCAGAGCCCCCTTTTTGTGCTACGCGCCTTGTAACATTGCTCAACAGCCCTCAGAGACTTGGCATCGGCTCTTGGCCTTAGGGACCAATTTTGACCCGAAGAAACACGCCAGGGTCAGTTTTCAGCCCGAAACGTCTGAGGTCCCGGGAGCAGACGCAAGGCTGACTGAAAAGGAAAGCACGACGTGTGATTTTCCGGCTCTTGGCTTCCTGTTGGCGTCCAGAAGGGCTTCTTCCTTGCTTTCTTCGGTTTCTCAAGCTTGCCCCTTTGGTTTTCTGTTTCTGGTTTTCCTTTCTTGGGCTTCCTTCTGGCTTTCCTTGGGCGCTTTTGCGCATTTGATCCAAGACCGGGTGCTTGCTTCGCCAGGCCTGCCAGAACCGGGCAGACCTCCACCAGCCTGCAGATCAAGCTGCCCAGCACAGTGGAGGAGATCCACCAAGGGAAAAAAATCCGAGGGTTCATTCCAGGCGATCCCACGGAAGCTTCCAAGAGGATCGGCCAATTGAAGAAGCTTCCGCCTGTCAGTCTGTGCGCTTTTGCGGTAAAGTGGGCGCAACGAAGGTCCTTTGGCGAGGGCGGCAAGTTGTTTTTTTTCTTCTTCTACGTGGATACCAGGATAACCCTTGAGGATTTGGGTGGTGGCTTCGCCCTTTGTTGTAGATTCAAAGGGAAACCACAAGTAAAACCACCATCTTTGATGTGTTCAAAAGGAAACCAACTGGTGGATGACTAGCTTGGGTGTTCTGGCACCCTGATTCCTGCGTTAGAGTCGCAGAAGTCAACCCCCACCACAAACCCTTTGGTGGTTACATCCTCGTGGCCTTTTATCCTTGCCCCACTGCATACTGATATGGAAGCAACAGGTGATTTGCTGTTGAGTAGGGGTAAGCAGAGTCCATGTTGATACCTTTTTAGATTCCATGTTGATTTGCTGTTGAGTAGGGGTAAGCAGAGTCCTTGCACTTTCTCTTTGAAACTTGATATTTTTGGTGGCATGATTTTGCAAATCAAGGTTCACTAAATCAAGTATATTGCTTTTGGTTGGGAGCAATAGCTGAGGTTCACCTTTTGCTGGTGTTGCTGGTTGCGCCAGGAAAAAGTGAGTTGCCAGGGCGAGAGCTACCGGAAACCCGGTTCTGGATCGGCGGATGTTGGAGGGACCACATGACTCCCCTGCGAAGTGTAATCAAACCCAAACAGGGGTCCTTGCCACAAGAGGGGACTTCCTCCAAAACAAGGGTTCTTCTGTCCACTTCATCTGTGCATGGGACGTCTACATGAAAGGCATTTGGATTTCTCCAATGGTTCTTTGCCTTGGAGCTCAGGAGCGTCCGAGTTCAAGTGAGCCCCCTAGAACCCTATGGGTTTTTTTCCTCACGATTGATTCGTGTTCCTTGGGATTCGTGCGCTTCCTTGGGCATTTTTCTTAAGGGTCTTTGGGTTCCTAAGCCTCAAAGTTTTGCCGGAGGACTATTCAGATGATGAGGATGACGAAGACGAGGATGATCAGAGGCAAAGGATTTGTCTCTCCCGTGAGACTCATGTCATTTAGGTCCCAATCGCAACAAGGGCCATTGTTTTGCTTCCTGGGATGGACGCCCGAGCAACTGCCACATGCGATGGCAAATGCCCCAAGAAGCTTCGACATTGTTCACTTCCATTTGGGGCTGTCAGCTGATTTGCTTCTTGTATTGGCCGACTTGCATCCAGATAAATTTTAGCGATCCACATCAACATGTCGACGCGCGCTTGTATAAACTTGACACCAAGTCAAGATGGTGGTGGATACCCGGAGGCGTGTGTTCTGGAGTATAGCCCTTGAGATAGTGACATAAATGAATAAGTGAAATAAATAACTAAAAACAAGTAAATACATAAATGCATTACACATCAAGAAGAACAATAGCACATACGCTTCCCTCTTTTCGCCCCTATCACCCGCCATCACAGTTGCCTAGTGGGCTTTGGCTTCCCGTTGACATGAAAGTGACAACTCTGACCAACAGGCAAACGAAGAAGCGACAAACCAACCAACCAACCAAACAGGCAAGCAAGCAAACAATCAAACAAACAAAGATTCCAATAACAACAAAACAACCAAAGAAGCAAACAAAAAACAAACAAACAAACCAAACAAACACACCAGACAAAAACAAACTACATCAACCAAGTAAGCGCCCACCGGCAAGGGAGCTGCCCCCGGGCAGACACTTCAGCTCCCGCCCCCCCCCCCCCCATCCATATTTCCGATGCCATGATGGCGGGTCTTTTCGCAGGCCCTTCACCCGGGATGAGCTGAAGACGAAGGCCAACAAGAACTACAACAAGAAGCAGAAAAAGCCAAGGCCGCCTTGACGAGGGTAGGTTCGTTGCGAGGTCCCACCAGCTTTGGACGCGTGTTGGGCGGCAAAGGTAGATGATATGATCCTGTTGAGGTGATGGATGAGAAGCCTGGTTTGATGAGCATTCTAAGGCTCGCTGTATTGGATTCTTGGATTACATTTTGAGATCCTTGGAAAATAATCAATCATGGTGCGATATGATACGACTTTACCTGGAAACGAGTCTGCTAGGGTACCTTCCCAATGAGTGCCACAGTAAGGAATGACCCAGCGCCAACTGCATCCGCGCATCCGCTCCAGGAACCGCGGTGCCCATTGAGGGGCTGATCGGGATTGGCGCGGGACCCTGCTTTTGCTTCTCCTTTTGGACACCGCGGAAAGGATATCCTAAGAAGACACAGAAATCACACCGGTTTCAGTCTGGTTTCTTGAGCATCAGTCAAGGGGGGGATTCATTTTGTGAAGAATTTATTCGAACATTGCTGGGGCTACGAGAAGAGCCCTTTAGGCAAGAGCAAGATCGCAGGTGGAAGGACTGATCTGGTCTTTTCTCGGACACAGATCCCCGGTTTCCAGTTGCATGATTCCTAAAGCAGTCCCTGAATTGTGCTATTGTGAAAGCATTTCATTCCTTTGCTTTTGGGCATGGGTATTGATGTTAGCTTCGAAACCCTACTTGTCATAGGAAACCCACAATGTAGATCATATCCTTTAGTAAAAGAGCAAAGCCACCCCTGTTTAGTACGGTATTTCGGATGAATGCGAAGTCGACTTTCAACTTAGACACAGCCGGCCAGGGTCCTATGAAGGGCCATGACCATGACCCATGAGGTTTGACCATGAAGTGGCAACGGCCTCCTTTTGGGCCATTCAAAAGGGGGCCCCTGCTGCTGGCAGGAGCTGTCCATTGGGCTGCTTTCCATTCAGTATTGTCCTGGCCACACGCTCACCCCTCCAGTAATCAACCAGGGCTTTACTAATCCCGGATTCCTATCAAGCAAAGCTAGGCTAGCGAGTGCAGAGGTCAGCTGCACACTTTCTTTACTTCAAGTTCACATGGGCGCCTGCCCAAATGACGCGACAGCAAACCAGTGAGCCATTGTAGGGGGGTCCTTCACTGTTTGGTGGAAATCCGCCCCTCTTTTAGTCCAATCCGAGGATGCCATCAACGAACGTCCAGGAGCCTTTGCCCGTCTGAGGCCGGCGCCCAAAGGGTCGCGGACGGCCGAGCTCCTCAAAGTCCACAAAGGCCGGCTTCCCAGAAAGGATCCAGGGGGCGGGGGTTGAATCGCTATGCATGCTATGCAATCTTCCTCCCCTGCAAAGTTTTCGGATGTTCCCAAGAACTTGGGTGCCAAGGGGGTGAGCCCTTGGTGTCCTTGAGGATGAGAAACCTTTGCAGCAGTTCCATGGACCCTAGGCATCGCAGTGGTTTTGGTCCGGGCGGCTCATGTTGAGCCCCTGCGATCAACGCCTGGGCGGGTCCCTTTTAAGGAGTTCCTTTAAAGGGGAATGGTCTCCTTGTTCTTCGCTTTTGGGCCATCTGAGGACAGGCGGCCATGTTAAACAGGTCAGTTTCACTTTGGGTTGCTAGTCGCTCATGGGAGGAGAACCTGTTTGCGAATGCCCCATTCAGCAATCTTGTTTGAGCACAACCTTTTGCGGGTTGTTTTAAAGGGAAACTAAAGGAAAACACCTGTTTTGGCGGGGTGCTCTATGATTTGGAGGCAAACCCATGTGGGTTTTGATCACACTCACATACACTTTGAGAGCCTTTGAGCGGCGATGTGAGCTTGGCTACTGCAGTGAGGTTAAGCAACCAGACCCTGATCTCTTGAAAGACAACTGAAGGAGGGGTTGGAACTCCGGGCAAATGACGTCGCGACACGGTTGATTGTTTGCTTCAGCATGTTCAAACAGGCCCTGAGGCAAAACGGCCGGCGCCGCTGAATCGCCAGGTTTCACAGTGAAGTGGGAGATGGGCATTGTGCAGTGGGTCCGGAATGTCTCGCCGCCGTCTCACACGCGCAAACTGCCCGGCAAGTGGGATGCGCGAATCAAAGACACCAAGTTCCGAAGCGTTGTCGCGAGCCGGTGGCTTTGGATGTGAGCCGTTGCTTGTTTTCTGTTGGGCGCATGCTTGCTGTGCAAGTTTGTCAGATTCCGAGTTTCACCGGTCACTTGGATTTTCACCCTTGCGTGTGATTGAATTCCCTTCCGCGCGGCGCAAGGACGTGGTCAAAGGGGAGGGTTGGGGCCACTGTGGCGTTGCGGTGCCAACGAGGAGGGCAAACACCACTTAGTTGCAGCGGGGTTCCTTTGAAGCTCCCAGCACTTCAGCGGAGAATGTCAATCGAATTTGATTCTCCCCCCGCCCCCCAGCTCATGCTTTCTTGGCAAAAGCAGCAACAATGGCCAGGCCAGCTCAGAAAGGGAACGGGTTTGGTCAGCAAGACATCCTGTTGCACCTGCAATGCAAGTGACAGGCGCAAGACGATACACAGTAGCGTCCCTTTGCAGGGCTGTCCAACTCTGAATCCTTCCACCCTCCCATTTAGCGGCTTCCCTCGATATAGAAAGTCGGACTGGCCGACCCTTGGCTAGCTGTAAAAGGGACAGGATGTTCAACGGTAGTCTCAAGAATATATACTATTTTGTTCAAGACTCTAAAACACTTTTATTACACGCCACATCCCATTTCATCATAGCCCATTTCGTCAAGGTGACTAGTTTGAACATGTCGCAGCCATCGGCAGCAGCCCCAACCGGTCCGCAGATTCGCAGGCTCTGACGGCGCAGCGCGCGCCGTGTGTCGCCCCGAGAGCGCCATGGATACCAAGCCTTCGGTGGGCTACCTGGGCCCGAGCCCGAGTCCAAAGTAGTCGGATTCCGTGGGGAGAAAGGACTCAAAAAGGCACCCGCGAGAAACCCACAATCAAACTGTTGCGTATGTCGTGCTCCCCCCAGTTTAGGATTCGCTTCCACGATCATCCGAGAAGAGTGAAACGATACAGAGCTCAGCATGGCGCGTGAAAAAGGATGACACGCACAATTCGAGAAGTGCAGGGACACTAGCATTTGCCAAAAGAAAGCCCCAAAGCCATCTGATTTTTGTTGGACCCCCCAAGTTTTCCAACACCGCACTGAAAGGGGGTTTGCCACCTATGATTCGTCTAATACGTGTCTTTCTTGTTTGCTGAAGGGACCATCATGGAGAAAGCGTGGCGTTTCCGGGAGTCCTTTTTAGCGTTCGGCGAGTTTCTTCAGGGGGTGGAAACACACAGAAAGGGGACACGAAGGCGTGTTTGGGCTTCGCAGCAGCGTCTCTCTCTCCCTCTCTCTCTCTCTCTCTCAGCCCTTTCGGCCCAAGCATGTGACGTGTTGAACAACAGGGCCCTTTCAAATGGTAAGTTCCGGCGAGTTTCTGGGACTTCCACTCGGGGCTTTCCATTTTGGTAATTAGGAAACCGACAGCTCAGAGTTTGTTCAGCTCGACTCAGGAAGCGAGTTTGACATTGATGGCTCAAGGGGGCATGACCGTGTGCTTGCTTTTGCCCGGCGACCCACAAACAAATCTTAGGGCATGACTTCCAACTTCAAGCGATGCCCAAGGAAGCTTGAGACCCGGATCACGACCCATGGAAAATCGATTTGGTCGCGCTCCCAACGCGAAGAATCTCCACGTCAGCCACAAGCACCCTGTGAATTGAAGGATTGTAAGGGAGAATCCTTGACATAAATGGGTGCAGATATCCGGCTTTTTGAATTCTTTGCATGGTTTTGGTTTTGAGTACCAGGTTTAGCCATTTTGGGTTTGGCCACGGTTTTGGTGTTGGTTTCGGGTTTACGCCATGTTGATTCTGACTCCCCTCCACTCCACTCAGCGAGCGAGCGAGCGAGCCCATGCGAGCGAGGCATGGGCATCATGGGCACCGCCATGGCGCTGGGAAGCCCAGAGGTCCTCGGTTCCCACCGCTGGGGTCGCGGCTGGGGGCGCGGAAGGGGAAGCTCCCTGGTTCTTGGTGACACGGATCTTCGGACCCTGGGGAGGTTTTCACATTTGGCTGCATTGACCGTTTGGGGGGGGTCCGTGTTACCTTGTTCTTGGGCGGCAGCCGGAGGTATGTTTTTGTTTTTTGTGCTTTTTTGGTTTTCCATTGGTCTCATTTTGCGATGCAAGGAGCTTGCCCTCTGCAGAGAGACAGAGAGAGAGAGAGAGATTCCACATGTGGGGTTGGGTTCCTATGTAAAGGGTAGTTCCATGCCGGGGGTTGATTCAAGTGAGCACTTCTAATTTTCAAGTTCAGTCATGTCAACACTGTCACCACGGAGCGTGACCAACATAATCGGCAGATTAAGGCAGCCAGGCTTTGTATTCACTGCCTTGCAGGGGCCTTTGCCGGTGACAGGATGTCGGAGCCCCAAACACGTAGAATCTTGGACTCTACCCCAACAGCCACAATAAGTTAGTGGCTTTTTGGTTTGCCCTCTTCGTGGCCCCACTCAGTTGGTTGCTTACTGATGGACGGACTATACATGTCAGTTTTAGCAGGTATCAGTTTGCCGAGCCCAGTTAAAAGGGTGTCAAACGGAAAACCCTTGATAAATTGTTTGTTAGTAGTTGTTCAAGTTCTGTCGATCCTTTTGTATGGAACACATTTGATGAGTGGTTAGACTAAGGTATGGCTTTGGACATCTTTTTGTATTCGGGTCGATATTCTCTACCAAGTGAATAGTGAAAGAGTCATGATGGTACAGACCCATGGACCAGCCATTTTTCCAGAGCCCTGCAGGATTGGCAGTGCCTTCTCCCCCTCTCCCCCATCGTTTCAGGGGCAGACTCATTGATGCCGGCTTCCCCGTCACCGTTTGGCGCGGCTTCTCAGGGCAGGGCGTGACGTCAGAGGCAGTGTGGCGGGTCCAATGCCCAGCTAAGATCCAAAAGGGGAAGTTGGAGGGGGGGTGCCAAATTCGTCTTGAGCAGTCGTGCCAAGCCCCAGGAAAGTGTTTTGGTGGAATCACAAAGCGTGTCTACTTTGAGGATACCCTTTTAGTGGTTTCAAACGATGATCAACAACCAAAGGCGAAACCACCATTTTGTGGGGTCGCCCAAAAGACATACCCAAATCTGTAGGGATCGTGTGCCTTTCTGGGGGCAACCGAAGCCAAAAAGGCAACCTTGCCCGTCCATATTCCATGGGTTTCTTGGGAGATGGCCGTTGTGTTCAAAAGGGAGCTTTCTTGGGAGTAGCCGATGGCCGTTTCTTGGGAAAGGCCAAGAAAAAGCTGAGACTGTCCCATCCACCAACCAAATTGGTTGGCGGAACGGCAAGCTGGCCAACGCCCAGAAGCTCTGGAAGTCGCATGGGGATCCTGATGGGAACTCGAATTACCGGGTTGTGTTGTAATCTTGGGACCCCAAAATGCTTGGTTTCCCTCTTAACCCTCCCGCCCCCCAACCAAAAAAACGGAAGAAGCAAGGGTGCCATCAAGAACCGAGAAGAAGTTGGGATGTGCTGGACTTTACCTGTTTGCTCTCCTTCGGTGGATCAGGATTCCCTTTGGATAGTTGCCGAGTCGCAAGACACCGAGTTGAGGGTCGCCATTTGGTAAGGTTTCTTAGGTCGAATGCAGGCTGTAAAGGCTGTAGGTGCGCGGTCACCTTTGCGGTCAAGACGAGTGCAGCTTCCCAGTCCTCGACTGGGTTGATGATTTTGGGGGTTTCTTGGGGGTATCAAGCAGTTGCTGGGGCAGTTTCTTGTTTGACCGGGTATCAAAGCGACACAGCTGTTTCTCAGCGACCACGGTGCCACGCTTCTCGCGTTTCACATTCCAAAGACCCTGCCTCCAGGAACCGCTCCAAGGACAAGTGCGAGCCAATGAGGGCGAAGGGTGCCAAGGACGGCAACGGGAACGCGTTGTGTTGGAATTCAGCGCTTGAACGGCGCAATAGAGTTATACTGTTTGCACTTGCAATTGAAGATTTAGTTCATATCTAATTCACTATGACTGCAGTTGGGGTCAAGCACTTGGTTGAATATTGACGTAGGCCAGGTTTAGTATTGGAGGTTTGGGTTTTGAGAAACAAGATGTATCAACAGGGTGCATTTGGTAGCAGGGGAAAGGGGTTGGCAGGGTACTTGGCAAGACCTGTGATGTCGAACCGCATGCGGGCATTTCTCATGCGGGATTTCAAATCTTTGAGGCTTTGGATTTTGCGGACATGTAGCCCACCGGGCCAATATTACCCATCACTTCAAATTCGCAAACAAACGCAATGCACTTGCCAAGATAATCTACAACATATGTATATATATATACATATACGCATGTATGATATTCTGTTTAATCTTTAAGCAAGACAATGCATGGCCATGCGCACTTGCAGGCACAAGTTTTGACTCTCGAGCAACGCATCTCGAGGGGAGGTGCCCAGAAGAGAACTTTGCGGCTAACCTAGTTGGTGCCCAAACGCCATGAGGCTCATCAGTATCTCGAACGAAACACGCAATCGCATTCCCGGCATAGCCACTGCGGCCTGCAACAATTCACCGGTGATGCTGCAGGTGATGAACGCTGTAAGTCAACAAGGTGATGCTGGGGATGTCGGCTGAGCACCACTAGTAGCGGGCATCGGTAAAACGATGACTTGAAGAGATCACAATGCTGACTGATGGTTTGTTGATCGGTGTAAGCGCGGAATCAAAGTGTATATATACATATATTACCTTATATTCTATATTCATATGTGTATTTATAATATATACTCTCCTCTGAGTTTAGTATATTTCTATATATGTCTACATATATAAGTATGTATACATACACTCAATGTCAGGAGCACCTGCCACTGCTCGATGTTCAGCCGAAATCGGCTTGAGGCCGCCTCTCTCGTTTCCAGGTGGCGGATACCCCGCAAGAGGTGGTGGAGACCTGCGACGTCACCTTCGCGCCACTCGCCCTCGGTTTGTCCTTCGAGCCGTGCCGCCGTGGGCGGGCGCTGAAAACGGAAGTCACCGGAGGTCCGCTGTTGGATGACTGAAAAACATCACCGTCAGAACGGGAATGAGGGAATGAACCCAGGCTTTGGTCCCGTTGAAGCAAACCACAAGGGAAGGTTCATAGTGGTCATTCCCTCATTCCCTACTGAGCACCAGCAAGACAAAGGGAAGTCAACAAAGAAAAGCAAGAAGGTGGTTCTCAGTGTGCTTTGCCCCCTTTTTTGCGGGTGATTTGACGGCAAAACACAATGAAACCACCCATTGTTGTGGAATTGGTTTCAAGAACTAGTAACTAGTGGACCCCTGGAATGATGTATTGTTTCAGAGCCACAACAAGGGGAACGACTGGCAACATGTGCTGACAGTCGGGGAACAAGTTAATGAAAGAAGCGGGTTGGCCAACAGGGTTGGGCAAACTGACATGGGTTGGAGAAAGTAGACAGCACAATTCCAACCCATGTTGGTTTAGTGAGACCTTTTACCCACATAAAGAGAATTGTGCCATCCACTTTTACCCCAGTGTCAAAGCCGGCTGGTTTGCACAAAGCGAATCCCAAAGATTGTTCAAAGGGGCTGACCTGACCCCGGGGAAGTGTCCAGGGTTGCCCTTCTTCCTTTTGGACAAGGAAAAGGGGGCAACCCAAAGTTTAGGATTCCGCTCGGCCACGCTTCCAAGAAATGGTTGCACGCTGGTGCCCGTCGATTCCTGCGAACATTGGGCCCGGGGAAGTCGGGCATCAAGATTGCTTTGGGCCGCCCTGACTTTTGAAAGCTCGGTTACATGGGCGGGACTTCGAACCGCGATCCAACCCACTTGAAGACAGCCCGGTTTGGGCACTGTCTCCAAGGGATCCCATGTTCAATGTCTTGAATGGTGTGTTGAGGGAAGCCAACGGCAAAACTTTCTGAAAGGGTCCAACTCAATTTCAGAAAGGCAAGATTTCTTGAACCTCTGAACTAACCGACATGTCATGTTTCAAGAGACTGTGTAAAGGCCAGGCACTTCTAAACATCTCATTGTGAGTTGGTAAAAGCTGAGGAGATTTGGACCATGACTGGTGAGCCACAATCGAACCACGCTGAATGAAGGTCAGGAACAGTAGTATCCAGAAACGGTGGGGGGGCTATCCGCCCTTTGGATTTTTTGCGCGGTTTTGGGTAGAAACCTTCGCCAGCAAGTGACTTAGGTGCACCTCAGATCCAACCTCCGCGCGGGCAGTGGTCTTCGGCCAGAACGGGGTCCTGGCAGGAGAGATTCACAAGCGGGCGGTTTGGGGGAGCATACAGGGAAGCCAATTGGCAAAATTTGGGGCCCCCTATTTTGGCACACACCTAGTTGGCTATTGTTTGCAATCTTTGTCCTTTTGCCGTCTTTGTTTAGTCCAGCTGTTTGTAACTAAGGTCTTGTTTTGTTGTTTAGCGTTTGGCTGGTTTGCTTATTTGGTGAACAGTTCTGGCCGGGGCTGCCAGTCAGGTTATCCTGAACTGGTTGGATTTGTTGAGGGCAAACGGGGAGTTGCGAAGCAATCGAAGTCACCGCTCTCTGTGTGTGTCTGTGTAAGAAGGCACCCGAATGCTGGCTCATGTTGGTTCCTTTGGGACACCTTGTTTGCCTTTCCCAACCAGGTCCCACACTGGTTTTGGCCTGTTGCTTTTTCAGAGTGGCTTTTCTCACGGCGGGGACACCAAGGGGTGAGCGGGAGCCGGACGCAAATGGGAGGTGCCACAGCCAGGAATCAGCCCTCCCAGTTTGTTGGCATCCTCTCAGTTTCAAATGAACCACACACGTGTTGAAAAGGACCCCCCAGATACCCATTTGACTGTGCGTCGTCCGCTGTTTGGGCTAATACCTAAAGTGAAGCTCTGATCACGCGTAGTAGCACGCAGTTGGCTCAATCTGACTGCTCAAAGGAGAGTACGCAGAGGTCAGGGCTGGGCATACTTTACTGTAGCTGGGCAGCTGGGCGCGTAATGCGCGTCATCGTTGTTTGTCAAAGCCAGTGGGTTGCCCTTCCCAGGCACCAACGACCGACTTGACAGGTGACCTTTTTCACAGGCTGAGCCTCCTGAGCTCCTTGTCCCACCAATTTCTTTGAACCCGTTGCCCCACGCCCCCTGAAGGAATCACTGCTGGCAAGAGATACGTTGACCTGTCCACAGTCGATGAGGACAGCTGGATTTCGGAGTGCTTGATGTGAAAGCTGCGGTATTGGACGTCGAAGGCCTAGGCAGCCTGGCAAGATATGCAATGGTCACAGGCTGGCTACGAAGCCTTGGCCATTGTGGGCAAATGGTTGCAGAACCGACAAGCTAGGGATGCTTACCAGAAATGCATATGTGGGTTCATACATAGTATATTCAGCACTTGGATATTATTTGCCGGCAGTGCAGTTGTTGGCAAGAGTGTGCATTGCGGTACTTTATTCCTCAAGACTGCAGAATTCGAGTCATTGGGTGAATTGTGTCGACCTCAGAAAGATGATGGATTCTTTCATAGGAACCCTAATGTCGGGTCGGTGAATGAATTCAATTTACCCAGAGTAATGTAGCCGCAGCCCTAGATTCATAAGCCTTTTCGCTTCATAGCAAAATGCTTCTCCCCAAAGGCAAATTTCTCCCCAAACAAATTGTAATGTTGTCAGAATGATTCGGCTGGACTCTGGGATCGCGGCTCCGGCGTGCAGCGCCAGGAGTGCGTCCAGGAGATTGCCGGGTGCCCCGGCTCCTGAGAAACCCTTTGGAAAAGATGGTTTCTGCGAGTCCAATGTGAGGGGAGCAAAATGGAGACCCTTTCTAATGAATGGGGTGATGTTTAAATGAACATATATGACACGGGATGTAGTTTTCCGCGGGGCCGATTTTTGGACAGCCGGGCCACTGCGGAGCTTTAGAGCGCACCGAAATGCCTCATGTTCAGCTGGGCAACTAAGCTTCTTTCCAACTAGGACCACGGCGCATAGCCGGCCGTGTAGTTTTAACAAGGCACTGTCTTGCATTGTGGTTTTTAACCCTTGTTTACAAGGGGTTTCGCACATGTTGGCAAGATGACTCGATTATGCGTCAATTCCAGTGGGATGAGGAAAAACATGTTTTTCCCCCATTGTAAATCCATTCGAAATCGACACTTGGCAAATCCCGGCGTCTACTTGAAGAGTGCACTAGTTTCCTTCTTCCACACACCTCGATTCATATGTGACCGTGGCAGGCTGCCAGCTGCCATGGAGTAACTTATGCCAGGCAAACTTCCAGCTGCCACGCATTTACCTGTGCTTAGCAAGCTGCTTCAGATTGTTCAAAAATTGGACCGGAGAGACAGGCCCCATCTTCTGTCTATACACCCATTGGTTGCAAAGCTGCTGCACCAATGGGCTCATCTTGGTGTGCCCATTGGTTTTGCGCGCAGCTGCAAGCCTGCGAGGAAGCCAGCGTTTGAGTGACTGCCATGCCCTGTCCAAGCACTGCGTTCCCGCAAGGGTGCTGATATTGCGGGCATTGTGTGAGATGTGCTTAGTGAACTGCTTTCGCTGGTGAACCACACTCTCGAAGGCAATGCCTCTGCGGGCACAAGCAGCGGAGAGGCCCACGCAGCACGAAGCACAGGCACCAGTAGCGGAAGTCGCGCCCAGTCAACTGGAGACCGATGACTGATCAAGCCTGTCGCCTGCGTGAAGCGCACAACAGGGTCAGCCGAGGCGTCCAAGGCAAAGATCTCTTGATGCGCGTCCAGCAAGCCAGGGTCAGCTGTAAACAGCACCTGCAGCAATGCCTCGTCCCTGCTAGAATGGCAAGGAGGAGGCCCTTGATGACACAGGCGCAACAAGATGATGAAGGTCAAAGCAAGCGCGCAAGCAGAAGCATCGTCCATAGCCCCCCAAGAAAACAAACTCCCCGGCTGCCGAGCCAACGGCAGAAGATGCGGCCTGTGAGCAAGGAAGGGAACACAGGAAATGTAAAAACCAAGGTTCCCTGCGGTGCTGTTTTTTTTAAAACACGGGGGTCATGGTCAAAGCGGCCTTCCTTGGTCTGAAGCTACGCGGACTCTGAGACAAAGTGTGCATGTGTGTGCCTGTGTGCGCGCGCACGCGTGCGCCATGAGTGGCGTGTGTGTGCGTGTGTGGGTGCATGTCTGCACACGCATGCACCCAAGAGTCCACGATCTTCACCTGTGTGCACGCGTTGTTGCGTGTGGTGCGTGTGCGTGTGTATTATGCGCGCATGCTTCCCTCTCTCCGAAGCCTAACTTTACGAAGGAGAAGGCGGCGTTGATAATCATTCCCCCCCCCCACCCCCCCCGTCAACAAAATTACACGGCCGTCTGTGCGCCGTGGGCCAACTACTGTTCCTTTGGGGGCCATGAATCGGCGATGTGCACATGCGTATTGGTTTGGGGAAGGCAGGCGCCCAGGCGCCCCGCTCACGATTCAGTCACGTGCGTGTTGCTCCAAATCAGATTCATTGCTCCCCAATTGACACCACGAGGGGATGCATTGCTGGTTTGGCTTCTCAGCAGTGCATGGAGGGCAGCACGAGCCTTCAATTGCCGCCGGAGGCTGCAGCCATCACAGCGAGCGGCGGCCGCTTTTTGGAGGACGGGGAGGGGGGAATTGGCGGTTGCCCCAGCTCAGGGAGAGGAAGGTTTTTGAATGGGGCAGGGTTGTGGGATCAAGGGGTTTAACTTCTACGATGTACGGGAATCTACCTCCCCCTATACATGGGGGGTTAGTCTTTGGGAAGCCCTTTCTGTTGTATCACAGAAGTGGTCATTTCCCAAACTCTTGGAATAGGGCCTGAATACCAGGACAGCACATGGACCTGCTCAGAGAGGGCTGCTGCTATGCTCTTAGGGGTCCCCTGCAAGCCCTGGTTCTCCTCCTGCTTTGGCCTCCTTTCAGATGTTTGAAGTATGGCTTCAAGGTGTACTCATCCACGGTCTCCATTTTCGACCGTGCAGAAGGTGAAGAGCAGGGAACAGGTTACGAGGAAGACCGCTTTGGTTCTGAAAGAATACCTGAACTGGGTCGCCCTCGTTGAGCTGAAACAGGGATCCTCTGTAGCTGTTTTTTGTTGGCGGCCAAGCTTGGTTCCTGCTTGTGTTTGCTCAACTCTTTTTTCTCCGCGTCTGCCCTGCAATCAAGTTGGTATGGTTTCGATTCCCTTTTAAGCAGCCAAAAGGAGCACGTTGCTCAACCCAACAAGATAGAAGTACATAAACCACACAATTGTCCATTTTCAAGCACCCCAAGCTCGACAAAGACTTTGGTCACCCTCACACAGGGTCCCGTACAGATACAGTAGTATGATATTACGTTATACATGTACATTGTACACCACATATATATATATATGATTTGACATCGCCTTTCGGCCACGTTTTTACTCGAGTGTCCCTTTGGCTGATGTTTAAGTCGACAGCTTCCTTTCAAGCAGCCTTGGACATGCATGTTCCGTTCTTCGGCCTTCGTCCTGTAGTTTTGAGAGAAGATTCTCGTTTTGGTGGGCCGGTTTTGTTTTTGTTGGGTACGTCTCAACATGAGGGATCCCTCAAACTGGTGGTTTTTCTTTTGTTTTCCGTCCCAAACCATCGAAACGGTCTCAAGTTTGTCAGGAGTCTTCATGGCACATGTTCACTGACATGTTTGAGTTTGCTTCTTGGGTTCTGGCGGGGCTTAGGGGCAGCTTTCAGGGAGGGTTCCAGGGGGTTCCTGGGCTGTTAGGGATACCACCATATTTTTAAATGCCACCAGACTAACACTGATTTTCGGCTCCGACTTCAGGCCCCCGTCAGCGGCTCCAAAGGCCCGGCCCTGAACGGCCTGGGCCCTAGCACCTTTCACTAGGTCACGAGACCGGGACCTATGGCTTCGGTTTTCCTGTTGGCTTCCCTTGAAACCAGCCAGAAATGCTGGCCTCCAAAAACGTTCACCTGGTCAATAATCGGCCCTTGCGAGCGTTTCCAGCCCGGGCTATCTGCAACTTTGCAGAGACTTGATAGAAGGTTGTGACAAGTGAGTGGGAGCCAAACACCACTGGCCATCCCCAGCAGAAGCTTCCTTGTGACAGGCGCCATGCTGAACTTAGCGATGTCAGCTTTGGCTCCATTTGAAGGGACCAAGTTCATGTGAGGGCTTAGCACCAGCCTGTGTGTTAGATGCTGCATTTTTTGGATTGCACAAGGATTCGGCCCTTTTCCCTTTGTGGTTGCCGAGGCATGGCAACCTGGACTGAGAATTCCAACCAAGCCATGTTGAGCCAGGTTGATCCGAAAATGCCGCGGGAGGACTTTCGAATGATGTCCTACTTTTGCAGTTCAACAACTATGCTTCCTTGAACATGTCATTCCTTACTGAAGAGGGCTTGGTTCTACTCTTTTGGAATTGTTACCCCCAAGCTTGCTGACAAGGCTGCACTGGCAATTATCCCGCTTTGGGGCCAGAGGCGCCCTCGCAGTGTTGGGTCTGAGGCCAGCTGGTGATTTTGTCCGCGGGAGAGGAGGCATTGCAGAAGGAGGCGAGCCGAGGGGTTCAATGAGAAGCCTGCCCGGTTCGCCCGGCTTTTTGGTGTCATGTTGAGTGATATCGTCTATATGGGTTTTGTCTTGTTTTAAGTTCTGTGGAGTTGCTTCAGAAGGCAGAAGGTGGGACCTTGGCGAATCATACCCCCGAAGCATACCCCTTTAAAACGTGTGCCGCACGATGCTACTTTTCTTTTACCGTTTGTGTTGTTCACTGTCTCCGCAATGCTCACCACCAGCGCTACCTGCTACTAATACTGCTGCCACTACTACTACTACTACTACTACTACTACTACTACTACTACTACTACTACTACTACTACTACTACTACTACTACCACTACCACTACCACTACCACCGCCACCGCCACCGCCACCGCCACCGCCACCGCCACCGCCACCACCACCACCACCACCACCACCACCACCACTACTACTACTACTAACACCAGTACTACTACTGCTGCTGCTACTGCTGCTGCTGCTACTGCTACTGCTACTCCTGCTCTAGTGCTGCCACAGCGAATCATACCCCCGAATCATACCCCCACCCCGAATCATACCCGCGAATCACACCCCGCACTCAATCCTTCCTGCCCGGCCACCGAAAAAAAGAAGAAGGAAACAACACCCCCCCAAAAAAACACGGAAACCCATATATATATATATACTGTATGCATATGTACCTACATATATCTTTATATATATATATATAGATGTACATTCAAGACCTTGGTTGTGGTTGTGTTTTCTATGGTTTTGGTGGGGTTGTTGGAGTGTGTTTTTCAGAGGCAATTGTTTTTTTAGCGCGCACGCTGTCTTTGAGGTATATCGACATGTTGTAATGAAGGGACAGAACTAGAACCGTCGTGTTGCACTTTTGTGTTTTTATTCTCTTCAATGCAACTCGTACAACCGTGATGGCCAATGCGGCTTCCCGGTTTTAAGCCTCAGTCACTTTGGGATCGCTTTCAGGGGCTATGTCATATCCCCAAGATGTGGTTCGGTCTCCCTGTGGCTTCCCAAACCAAGCAACCCTAAAAAGCGGGGGGGAAAAAAAACGGCGCGCCACCGAGCCACCGGTGATCCCAAGTTCCGCAGGTCCAACCCATGTTCGACGTGCTGGGCAAGAGGACCTTCTTCCTGGGCGAGGCGCGGCTTGGTCAGAGGCCAGGGGTCCTGTTGCCTTTGGTGGAAAAATGATCGACTGGTAGTGAAGGATTCCTTGTGGGGGTCGCCAATTTTCTCACAAAAGGTGGCAAAAAGACCCCCTGTCAGAGGCGGCCTAAAGTTTCCCATGGTGTGCCAAAGGAACATACCCTGTCCACGTTGCCATTGGAACCCACAGAGCTTTGTGCAGGGGGATTGTCCAAGGACATTCGTTTTCAGCTAGTCCGGTTGCGGCATGGACTATTTGCCTCCCACGCGATTTCTCAGCAATGGAAAGGGAATCGATTCTCACCTCTCTACTGGGCCTACTTAAAGAGGGGACACACGAACCGAATGGTCCGATCTCCCACTGGCTCGCTCCGGAGCGCTTATGCCGTGGGAGGCGGGGGCCGGGGCGCGGATGAAGCTGGTGGTCAACATGGCGCGGGCCTTGAGGTTTGTTAGAACCCCCCTCCCCCCCAACAAAAAAGAAGAAGATGAGCAATTACATATATATATATATACACACATTATATATTATATCATATATATATATATGATATGTATTATCCAACCGCGGGGGCTCAATTTGTGCTCCAAACCAATTGTTTGTGGATGAAGATGAAATCAAATGCCATCCTTATATTGGTCCCCAGCCTTTGGGGGGTTGATTTGACATATTGTGATGACGCCTTAGCCATGCTTTTGCGTTTTTGACGGCCGTTCCGAATCGTTTGTGTGTGGGTTGTACGTGATTGTGACGGAACCCCAGCCATGAGTCTTCCAATGCTTGGAGGCCCGAAAGAAAACAAACACTAGGGCATGGATTCCACAATGGATCATCGCAGGAATCTGTTTTGCTCGGGTGGCTCCTGCGGCCCAGGGTTTACCAGATGGTTTTGTAGGGTTCCCTGCTTTGGCCTCCCCGCTTTTTTGGGTAGGTCAAGTTCAACCCCCTTCAACCCCAAAACCCCAACTCATGTCGCTTCCCCCGTAGGAAACCACTCCAAAGAATGCCCGATCAGACTGACTCGGCCCCGTTTCTATGAAAAAGGCTCCTTGTCGTGACGACGGGACACCAACCTGCTGGAAGGCTTTCGGATCACACCGCAAAGCCCTGGTCTCAAAGGGGCGGCCTGGTATAAACCCGCTCACAATCAGCTTGCCAGCGCGCATGGTGTTTATGTTCAAATGGCATACGGAACCCCAAACGTTGTTGAACCCTGGGTTTCGCAGCAGTTGCTGCAAAGATACCCACAAAATGTACTCTCGACTAAAGGGGCAAGCTGTAGCCAACAGATGTCTGGCACTTGTGGAAGGGGCATGATTCCAGCCTGGGTGTGTCCGCCTGGCTATGTCAGCCAGGCTGACTTGATGGGCTGTCATTCCATCCAGATTTGATGGACGGAGTTCTTCACGTTCGTTTGAGACAACTGTCCAGCAAGCCGGTACCTCTGATTCCATGCCAGCGTCAGCATGCAATGAAGGATGAAGCTGCCTGCCAAATGGTGATGGCGTGGCTTTGCCTTTCGAACCGTTCATTTGTTCATGTCCACCAAGAGAACATGTTGTTCGCTACAGGTTGCACCCTCAACCCTCGGTCGGAGTGGCGGAGTGAGAAACACGCGTCGCTGGGGGTGAAACACCCCCAAATGTCAGAAGGGAAGCGGTCCCTCAAGGAATCTGTTGCTAAGCTGCGCAACGGGAAGCGCTGGATGCTGAATCGCTGGGTCCCAGGTGATGGGGATCAACATGGTGGCGCTGTGCGAAGGCTTGGCTGCCAGGGCACTCAGTCCGAGAGAATTGTCCGAGAGGAGTGGTGACCCCTGGAATGGAAAGTGTGTAACTCATGTAACTTCCCCCTTTAGACAAAGGACCCCGAGCTGCCTAAGCTGGAGCAGGTTTGAGCTGGGGATATGGGTGTGAACCAGTTGGACCCCTTCAAACGCCGAGTTTATTGTTCATGCATGTCGACTTTGGATGATTCCAGAAAACCGTTCTAATCTGAAAAGTCCTCCCAAAACAAATGATTTCCCCACAAACAGGGTGTTCTCACCTGATTTTGGAGGTTCTCCTCGTTAAAACCTGAAGTCGACATTGGGGGGTGGGGGTTGGCTCGTATCATGTTCCGCTAAAAGAGGAAGCTTCTGCTATTCCGCAATCGGTGGCAAATACTCCGCTATTAATTCGATGAACATTTGCGAACACCAGAGCCTAACTCGCACGCACAATTGGGATCTGTAATGGGGTGGTTCTTGATCGTCAATGCAATGCGTGACCCTTTCTTTAGGGACGCCTTTCTGCAGCTTTGCCCAAGAACGGCGCGATTCCTCGGTTTCCGACCATGCCTTAGGTCGGACAGAAGGCCGGCCTTGCAGGCAATGACATCCTGGAGGTGCGCGAAGGTTGGTGAAGTTGGAATATTCTGTTAGGCAAGGGAAGCCCAACTATGACATCCAGCGCGAAGGCACCTTTAGGAGACCGTTTCTGTTCGTCCGTTCTTCTTCTACCACGGAAGCTGACCGCAGGGTTCCGGACGACTCGTTTTGGGTAGGCGTGACCTCAACGGAAAACGACGTCGATCGGAGGTGATCAAGGAGGGCGCGATCGCCTCCCCGATGTATGGCCTCAAGGCCCTCGCGAAGCTTTGCAATCTGGGTCCTTAAAAAAGTGTTTTTTGTTTTTGTTTTTTTTTAGCACTTTTTTGGGCTCAAAATGAAAGAGCTGGGGTTACGCAGGTTGTAGCCTTTGTTTTCATTTACCAAGGTGCCATTTTGGGATTCCATTTTTGAGCCACAGCCAAGTTGTGCCCCTCTTTGACTTCAAACCTCGCAAAGGCGCTGGCACCAGGGAAACAGGGGAACCCCAAAAGGAAAGACGTTTTCACTTGGGTATGACTATTTCAATGGGACCCCGACCCCCCCAACAAAAAAGCAAACACACAACATACAAAATGTGGCGTTCCTTGTGCTTTTCCTTTTACAAGTGCTAAACCGCACGGTTCCTTTTTCTTGAGCCATGAAAGTCGGGGATTCACACTCCCCCTGGGTGTCTCTTGCACCCACAACGGCCTACCGGCCTCCGGACCGTGCGGTCCTCACTTCGGCATCTCCATGCCCTTCTTGTTCTCCTTGTCTTCGCCCAGCACCACCTTCCCAGCCGCCGCCGCTCTTGCTGTGCATGAGCTCCCCCGCGGCTGACTCTCCTCCTCCTCGATGGCATTGCCTGCCTCTGCAGACCTTCCTTCACCCGAGCTCTGCCCAGGCGGCTGGCTCCTCGTCTCCACCACCTCGATGGGACCTCCTCGCAAATGCTCATCAGCCCTCCACAGGCTCCCTTGAAGACCCCCAAGAGGTTCACCTCGAGCACGAGCTTGAAGGAACTCCCACCGCTCTTCTGACTTTCCTTCCATCTCGCGGTAGTACTCCATCCTCTCCGTCCCCAGCACCGCTCTTATTGCCCGCACCGGAACTCGACCTCCAGCCCCATCTCGCACATGGCATACTACTACCAGATCGTCCCTCGAGGCCTTTGCCTGAGGTCGGATCGCCTTCAAGGATTTGAGTGCCTGCTTAGGCAAAGGTGCACCCGTCCAGGGCCTAGTTCCAGTCTCTGTCCTGTCCGTCCCCAAGTCCTTGTCTCTTGAGCTGCCGGTAGCTCTGTCAACACCAACAACTTGCCCCTTCTTTTTATTAGCAACATTGATGTTCACGGAGCCGCCTTCCGCCGTCTCTTTCGGTGGGCTCTTGGCCTCTTCATGCGGTCTTGCCAGTTCTTTATCGGGGTCTTCAACCGGTCTTTTCAATTTCTTCATTCCCAGACCACACGCCTTCTTGGTGAGTTCCCAGATCACTACCACCAGGATGGCGATCACCGTCAGGATAACTTCCAGCGACACCCCCTCCAGTTCCGGCTCCTCCCCATCTTCGGCCTTTGCCACCGCCACCAGACTCAGCATGCCCACGACAGCCTTCAACTTATGCACCGCGAGCCACCCTGCTGCTCCAACCTTCTCGATGACCTTCTCCCCAAACGCCTTCTTGACCTTCTTCCTCTCTATCACCTCCAAGCCCATTCCTCCTCTGCACTTCTCAAACTGGATCTTCGCCAACGGTTTGGTCAATCCATCCGCCGCCAACAAAGTCCCCGGCAGATGCCTCAACCTCCACTCCTCCTCCTCTATCAGCTCTGCCAACCTTCCAGCTCGACATCTCAAGTGCCTTGACCGCCATGCGCACGCCGGCGTTGTGATAATGCTGATTGCTGCCGCGTTGTCACCCAGGATCATCTTCTTGACCTTTGACCCTTCCAGCAGCTCCACCAGCGTTGCCACCGCCTCTCCAATTGCCGTCGCCTGCACATAGCCCGTCAATTCTGCCTCTGCTGTTGACAACGTTGTAAAGGCTTGCCTGGTTGATTCCCAAGCAATGATTCCGCCTCCATACAGAACCATCACCCCCTGGATTGATCTTCCACCTCCTGGCGCGAAGCTCACATCCGCCTGTATTTCCAACGTTCCCATACTCCGAGGACCTGGAAACTCTGCCTCTTCCTCCCGTGGCTCCATCCTCTTCTGGTAGATGATGCCCACGTCGTCCGTGTTCTTCAAGTAGCCCAGGATCTGCTTAGCCACGCTGAGTGCCTTCTTCGGGTACTTCGCCACCATTCTTGATGCCTGGCCAACCGCGAACGCTACATCCGGTCGCGTCCTCGTCGACACCCACAGAAGTTCCCCTAGCGCCACTTGTGCTTCCTTCACCTCCTCCGGAGTTCTATCCTCTTCTGGCTCCTCCGACAGCTCCATCTTCCCCGCCGGGACGTCCACATTCTTCACATCTGGATGTCTCTCCACCAAGTCCCGAATGTACGCCGATTGGCCCAACCAGAAACCACCTTCTCTTTCACAGATCTCCACTCCGCAGAAGACGACCGGCTCCTTTCCACTGACCATTTCCGGAGGCGACGTTTTCCATTCCTGCTGAAGCCGATCCATGAAGCCCTTCATGACCGTGTCTTCCGCTGCGACCAGCATGTCGTCAACATACACCACGATGTTTCCCACGATCTTTCTCCCTTCTACCTCCTTGATGGCCCACAGGTTCCCCTCCAGCAAGTCCATCTTGTACTCCTTCCCGCTCACCCACCATCTGAACTTCTTCATTGTCTCGTCGCGATGGCATCCCCAGTCCTTTGGACTAGTGTTCAAGCCGTAGAGCGCCTTGAGGACCAACCATCGCTCATCTGGCCTGGTAATTCCAGCCTGTCCAAACACCTTCGGCGGAGTTACCACCAACAGTCTTTGCCTCCGATTCGGTGCTTGGAGAAACGCGGTTTTCACATCCACGGTCCCCACCTTCCACTCTTCATAGGCTGCTTTACGGAGGGTCGCTCTCAAGGCTATACTATCCACGCCCCCCGCAAACACCTCCTCCTTGGTCTCCCTTGCAATCAGCTGGTTCCCGCACACCACTGCTCGAACCTTCCTCCTCCCCGACCCAGCCTTGCGGGTGAACACTCCCTTTCCCGTCGCTATCTCCACCTCCGCGTGCTTCACCAGCTCCTCCGCTTCGGCTGATGACAACGGCTTGATTGCCTGGGTCTCTACCGTTAGCGATGCATACTCTTCTGCCATCGCTTCTTTCCAGAGCTCGAGCTCCTCCTTGACCACCTCCAACGGGATTGTCTTTGTCTGCAGGAACTCCTCTTCTTCTAGCTTCTGCACCGCCTTCAGCTGCCTTCTTTCTTCACCTTCGAATTCCTTAAGCATCTCCTCCAGCAGGTTCACATCCTTTGCGATGTTCTTCACCCACTCCAACTGCCAGGATTCCATCGCCTCACCTCCAAGGAGCTCCTTCTCCTCATACCACACTCTCTTCAAATTTCCATGCCATTTGACCAGCTCCTCTTCCCACTCCTTCAGGTTCTCACACCCCTCATCTTCCCGGCTCAGGGGTGTGAGCCACCCGACCCCTGCATTAGGCGCTCGGGAATTCGGGGATTTCGCTACTCCAACGATCATCTCCGCAATCTTCGCCACCCTGCCTGGGATCACTGCTTCGTCCACTGCAACATCTGCAACACCTCCCAGCTCCCCCCCGGCCACCCTGGCCGGATCCGGCTGCTTTCCTCGAAGGCGACGTCGAACCTGCTGCTCTTCCTTCACAACCTGCTCGGACACCGTGACCACAACAGCGGAGGCTCGAACAAAACATCCATCCTCGCACTCCACATAGTACCCCTGCGCCATGTCCTTTGAAGGGCCCCAGACTCGGACGGGCTCAAACTTATGCGGCCAGTCCTTGTGCTGCTTTCTCCATCTCTTCACCTTGACCATCGCCTTCGAACCGAACGGCACCAGCGAAATCATCGGCACCCCCAGCGCCCTTAACTGACTCCGCCACCGGGCTTCCGCTGCGTGGCGTAACGCCAACGGCCACTGCTCCTTGGGCGTCTTCGTCGCCTCCAGCAGCACCCGCGTCCGGTTCTTGATGACCCCCACTTCACTTTCACACCTGCCATTAGCCTGGGGTTCATCTCCCGCCGTCACCGTCCTCCACAGGCCGTGCTCTGCTGCCCAAGTTCGGAACGCTGAGCACGTAAACTCCCTGGCCCGGTCGGTGTGTACCCGCAGCACTTGCAGTCCTGCCGCGCGATACCTGCTATAGCATTCTGCCACAGCTTGAATGACCACATCCCGGTTTCTCGACTTAATGGGCACCGCGAACGTCAAGTTGCTCACCGCCACATCTTCCAAGTCCTTTACCAGTTCATGCCATCTCCTTGTTTCTTCTTCTGCTTTCTCTACTTCCACCCGGCCCTCCTCCCCCGGGGCTGGATCCCGGTTCTCCTCTTCCCACTCCAGGTCTGCGTCCGCCTCCGGTAGTTCACCCCCTTCAGCAAGTCCTGGATCAGCACGACCCTCATCCCCTCTGCCGCATAGAGCCTCTCCCTGATCCTCCACTTCCATGTCGTCCTCTCCCAAAGCAACCAGTGGCTCCCCTGTGGACTTCCTCACCGGAACCGTCAGGACCGTCACCACCGCATATCTCGCCTTGGCCCCATCCTGGTCCACGCCCTCGTTGGTTGGTCCCAGAATGTCAACCGACATCACGAAAGAATTGGGAGCCCGGATCCTTCTATGACCCCCTGCTCGTCCCGCAGCCTCGATACATACCCGACAGTCTCGTCGATGTGGTACGTGCTCATTCTCCACATGCCTTCTCCATTGTTCCTCCTTTGCCGGGAGCCTCGCCGCTTTGATCCTCATCTCCACCATCACCTCGTGGTTCACCCGCTGAAGCCCCATCTTCACCGCTTGCTTGAGCTCCGGTGCCCACGCCGCCCATGATGCCGATTCCTTGATCCGTCCCTCAGTGCTCCCGCTCCTTCCCACCACATCACCTGGACCACATCTTCCATGAAGTGCCAGAACCTCCGTCACATTGGTCATAACCGTAGTGGGTTTTCGCCTTTCATGCCCCAGAGGACCTTGATCAAACTTTGCCATGCCCATGCCGTTTTTCTTTACGAACTCCTGCGTCTCCGGCCACGCCCAAAACGAAGCATAGCCCCCAGGCGGCGTGTCCAGCCTCCCTTCGCCCTCCCCCTCACCTAGCCACTCCTCGGGATCTCGGGGGTTCTCCTGCGCGAAGACCGGGCCAGTCCAGCCCCTCTCTTCCCTCACACTCCTTGTCACCTCAAACAGCACCATGGGCAACAACCACAGCGCTGAATCCTGGTGGGTCTTCATTTGTGCCTCCGCAGCTAGCCCCTTCAACCCGAAGCGCTCTCCTCCGCCACGGCTCCGAAGCGGTTCGGGCCCCGGACGCTGATATCGGCACACCGACACCGACCGGCACGGCGGTCCTCCGACCACTCCCGTCACCTTGCCCTCCATGCAGAGCTGGAACAAATAGGCCTTCACCGCCGGGTTGAGAGCATCCTGGCCCTTCTGCAGATCCAGGCAAAGCACCACCTCACCAGCATCCTGCCAAAAACTCTGGTCCTTTCCTGAGAACAAGTGCAGAACCACGCTACGAGCCTGTCCACCCTTCTCCTCGCCCTGCGGTTCCACGGAAGAACCTTGTGGAAGTCCTGCTTGAAGGTGCCCTTCATGTCCACCATCTCCAAACCAATTCCCATGATTTCCCACACCGCCACAGGAACCTCCGGCCATCTCGCCCTCCACCTTTCCATCATCGTTGATTCTGCCGAGGACAACCTGCAAATCTTTGCTCTGTTCAAGTGGAACTGCTCCAAGTCTCCGATGAGTCGAAGCGCCTCCTTCCCCGGCACCACCCATTCTTCATCTCCACCTTGATGTCCCCCTTTGCCGGGTGCTTCACCACACATCCCTTATTGTTCCAGGATATGCCGTAGCCCATCTCCACCAGTCCCGCCAGTGGCACGATCGGCTCCACCTTCTCCGCTGACAGCAGCGTCCTTGTGTTCTTGTGTTGCCAAAGCCGTGCTGTGCCCGCCGCCAGCTCCACTGTCACCTCCTTCACGTCTTTTCCTTTGAGTTCCCCTCCTCTGGCTTGACGAAGAGCATGGGTGGCTCCTCCATCCAGCAGGCCATAGAACTCCTCTTCCACTTTCACCGACCGAACTCTGATGACCTTGACTATGCTCAGCGACTTCAACAGCCCTGTCGCTTCCGTCAGCGCTCCTGGACATTTTGACCTTGCCGTCCAGCTCCCCCAGACCCAGACGCCTCCTTCGAGTCCTCTGCGACCCCCTTTTCCGCTGCAACCTTCGGTTTGACTGGCTGCTGCGACTTGTTCTGCTGCTGCGACTCGCCCTGCGCCTGCTGTCTGAACCCAGTCCTGCCGGCCGCCTCATGCTTCACCGGGCATTCCCCCTTTCGGTGCTGTAGCGACCCACAGATCCAGCACCGATCTGCTTTCTTCTCCACCACCGACCAGTCGTGGCTATAGTTGCAGTTCCGGCCCATCCGGCATCCTCGTTCTCCTGCAAAGTACACGCAGAGCTTCTTCTCTCCCTCCCTGCGCTGCCCAGACTGCTCTGTCGGCTTCATGCTTTTGACCTTCACCACCTTCTCGTCCGCCTTTGAGGCCACCATCACTTCCACCTCCGCTTGGATGAACTCCGCCAGCTGGATGATGCCGTCTTGCGTTGGTGTGACATCCACCCCCAGGCTGTTTCTCAAGAGACTTAGCCTGAAGTGGACCTGGCTTCCTTCCTTTGCGATACCGATCCAACGCTCTCAGCAGCAGCGAGGGATCCGGCATCGCCAGCTTCAGCTCCATTGTACGAATGTACCACCTCCGCCATTGCCGCACTGCCGCCAAGACCTCCGCCGGCACCGTGTTTCCATTCACCTTTGGCTCCACCAAGTAGTTGAGGAGGCTCTGCCTTTCTGCTGGCCCCCCTGGCTGATACATTGTGAGCACCTTGAAGACCATTCCTGCCGCTGACAACGTCCTTCTGGACACCACCTCCTGTCTCAGTCCCTGAGGCAACGCCCGGAGCAGAAGCCCAGCTCCACGTTGCTCCACCCGAGAAAACGGGTACTTCCCCAGCCACCCGGGTTCCTCCGGCGCCACATTCAGCCGATCCACCGGCCGCATGTCCAGCCATTTCTGATAGGCCCTCTCCGCAGGGTTCATGATGTGTTCCCACCAGACCGCCGCGCTGGTGCTGACGTCCATCATGATCGGCTTGATTTCCGCCAACCAGTCTCCCGCTGCCAGCGGCCCAGCTTCCTTTGCCCCCAATTCCGGCAGCTTTGGCAACTCCGCAGCTCTGATCGCCTCTTCCCGAAACTGTCCCGCTGCTAACATTGCCTTCACATCCTCCGGCCAGACATCCATGATCCCCTTAACGTCCCCAGTCTTCTCGCTCACCACCACCTCCGGGTCCAAGTCGGCCCTGGCCTCCGATCCCGGAGGCGGTGCCGGAGCTTCACTCACCATTGCATCTGCCCGTTCCCACGTCAGCGCCCACTCATTTCTGGTCATCGGCGCCGGTACCATCTTCAGGCCACCCGACTCATAGTCCTTGGTCCAGGTGTATAGCTCTCCTTCTCTCGGCTCCTCCCTTCTAGAGTTACCTCCTCCTCCTTCTAGACGAAGACCACCCTTTCCCCTCTCAGAGCAGGGCGGCGTTCCCCTCGGGACTTCCGTCCCTCCTGGGGTCCTTCGCTGTTCTGGCGTCCTTGGCCTCGGAGGATGCGGAGGTGGATGTGGGGACCTGGTCCGATCTCGCCGTTCCCCTTTTCCATGTCCTCCACCCGGTTCTGCAGGTGTCTGGAAGATCTCCTCCTCTTCCTCCTCAAACCTCCTCCACCGGGTTCCATCCCACTCCCAGCGATCCCACCATGATCTCCAGTCCGCCAACTGATCCTGGGCTTCCCTCAGTTGACCCTGAGTTTCCCGGACCTGCTCCAACAGCTGATTGATCGTGCTGTTCCTCCTCTCCAGCAACCTGCCCTGCTCCGCCATCTTCCCCTTAAGATGATCCCGTTCTTGCTCCATGCCTCGAATCATCCGGCACGCCAGCATGAGTTGCTTCTCCATGGCCGCTTGAATATCAATCATGCCGTCGTCATAGTCCGGCACGAGTTCCTCATCATCATATTGCAGGCCAGCTGGTAGGTTTCCTTCTGGAATCCACGTCTTCGTTGCCGGGTTCCAAACCATGTGGAGCTCCATTGGCCTGAAGCCCGCTCTCGTTGCCGCCCTTGCCTCATCCCTTGTCACCTCCAATTCCCTCGGCTGCAGTCCTCTCCCGTCCTTTGCCCCATGTCCTTTACCTTCTCGGGGTTCCGGACCTTTGCCTCCAGCAGGAACTGAATCGCCAGGATGATCACGACCTGCCTCAGTTTGACCTTCTTCTTTCCTTTCTCGAGAGTGCCCCGTGCTTCCCCTAGTTGCATGCCCTCTTCCATAGATGGGATGTCTTCCGCGATGCCCTCCGCCCTTGCCTTCTCGACCGTAGGGTCCACTTTCTCGTTCTCCCGGATGTGGTCCCACGCTCGCCGGTCTACCTCCGCGAACACCCGCAAGACCCCCTTCAGCATGTTCTGTGGGCCTCCCTTCATAATCTCCCCGAGGATTGCCTTCATATTCTCCCCAATGATGACCTTCACCTCGTTCACGGCGTTCAGCTTGCCCTCGTTCCGGATGCTCTCGAGGATGTCCTTCGCCATGTTCTCGACCCCACCCACGATGCCCTCCTGGATGATCCCCATGTCGAGCTTCAGGAGGCCACCCTCCAGGATGTCCACGATGGCCATCGCTACCGCTTCCTCCTCCCCTTTCTGTCTCACCCTTTGGCCAGTTCTCCCTTTCCAGGTCCTCCTGCAAGCTCCGTTTCACTTCGCTCCAGAACTCCGACCTGCTGCTACTCATTGTTTCCGCTTTGTGCCACCCTTCTTGATCGCGATCATGTCCATGTGGTTCTCCCGGGTGTGTTCCTGCCATCTCCCCCTCCGGAACCCTCGGCAGGTCCTTGGGCCGAAGTGCCTGCAGCTCCGCCTCCGCCACTTGCCTTCTCGCTCCAAAACGGGTTCACCTGCACCGCACCCCCATGACCACCCCTCTTCGCCTCGCCCTCCATTACCTCCTCCTCGGGGATGACCTCTCCGTTGGGCTCGGCGACCATGATGCCCTCGTCCCCCGCATCCATCGACCTGGCCCTCCTTCTCCTCATGCCAGCGTCCATTGCGGGAGCCTACCCGAGCAGCGTTGGGCTCATAACCTACAAGTGCTAAACCGCACGGTTCCTTTTTCTTGAGCCATGAAAGTCGGGGATTCACACCTTTAAACCCACACACCCAGTTCATACCATTTCAGCTGAGATTAAACAGGCTCATTGTGATCGGCTTTTGCCTGGGGACTTGCGAATTCAAGAATTGGAAGGACCAGACATGTTGCAGATGTTAAAGAGCTGGCTCAAATCCGATCGCCCCTAAATGTCTAGCCTTCACCCGCCAGAGCAACTCAGTTGTCCAGTGGTTCCCTTTAAACACTCTTAACCAGGCGGGCAAGGGGTAACCTCAACAAAAGCACACCCAACTCAACTGAAACCGGCTGACTGAAGCAGCACTAGCTTGTACCAGGGGCCCAAGATGCTGGAGGGGGACTTTGCGCCGAACTTCCCCTTGAAGCATCAGCAGAAGGCGGCAGGGGTCGCCGGAGGAGCATGAAAGATGTGTCATGCATGTACGGAAGGGAGTTGGAGGCGTATCTCCACCTCCATGCGGGAAAGGGGACTCGCAACCTCGTGCGTGGGCAGGGGCGGGCTGCACACTCGTACCGCATGATTCGTACATCAGTTGTTCTTTTCGGGGTGTCTGGCTGTCAAGCGCAAAATCCGCCCTTCGAATGACCATCTTTTGTCTTTTGAGGCTCCCTTTCAACACCAAGGCTTTGACCTGCTTTGATTCCTTGAGAGTGATCTACGGTCCTGTACTTCCATCCTTGCAATGCAAGCGCCCCGGGCACATCTTGCCGAGCTGCCTCTTGATTCCCTGGAAACATGAAGGGACTTCCTTCAGGCAGAAACGACAGAGCCTGAAATAAACTGGCTGTGCTGAAAGGCGTGCGCCGCACGCAAAAAAAACAATCGGCAATCGCCTGACTTTGTTTTGAAAGACATCGTGTGGGGGTCTCCCGTTATTCCGCCGATGTGTTTTCCACCAAAGAGGGTAAAGGTAGAGTGCAGGGTCACGTGTCTGCATTTGCTGAGCTCATTTGCAGGTACACAGATCTTGACCAATGTTGAGTCTCGACGAACTCAAATTAACCAATATCATTATGATTATGGAGGATTCCACTTGATTCAGCTTCAATGCTGTAGATGTGCCTGACCAGGGGGTTGTGTTGAAGGCAAGCAAAAAGAGCCCGTGCCCTTCTCAGATTTTCGAGGGAGCTGCTTTCAATGGACGCCGAAGGCAATACACTCATTTTCAGCAGTTCCCCTATTTTCAGGAGTCACCCCTGGCACGTCAAAGTGTTGCGGTATATTTTGGTTCGCGAAGCTTTGGTGGGTATGTCTCGAAGAGGGTATCCCTCTAAATTGTGATTGAAGGGAAACCAGAGCCCCTTCCAATAGTTCAAACTTATTCTTATTTGTTTCGTTATAAGTTATAAGTGACTGAGCTCTAAATTTGGTTCCTCCAAGTTTACGGCCCAGGGCCGTAACTTTGGGGCCTGCAGTGGTCGAACCTCGAGACCGGTGCCGGTTTGGTTTTTTTTGCGATGCCAGGATGTGAGGCTGGCGGTGGATCTGGGGGACAAAGTGGGCCAGCCGGGGCCCCTGGCGTGTCCTTTTCTTTGAGGCTCAGTACCCTCACTTTTTGAGGTGGCTTGAAAGGGACACCAAAGAGAACGCCACTATTTAATTAATTTTTTTGGGGGCCCCTATTTTAAGATGCACCCATTTAGGTGTTCACTTGTCAAAGTACTGGTGTGTCCTTGTCAGGCAGGAGGACTTTGTAGTTCCTTGTTGTGTGGAGCTTAGGGATGCTTTCTTGAACACACTACTGATCCGGGTACTGTTGAGATGTAGTGTGTGGGAGGAATGCTAAACGGAACTGCCCACCCCGTTTCAACATGGAAGCCGGGGAGACAACCCGCGCTTGCCTGTTGAATTAGAACACTTGGCACTTCTGGTAGGTGTCTTCATCATTTGAGTCAAGGCATCAGAACTACGTACTCCAGTTGTTGTGGTTGAAGTGGGTTGGTTGGTGCTCTGTTGGCATAGCAAGGAATCGTCTCATTGAAAGGGCCGTTTCCCGATATCACAGGCGGCGGGGCATTCCTACCACAGGGGGAAGTCGTCCTCCCGCAACCACAGGAGCGGACAAACGGCTGTTAAGCTCGTCTTTCAAAACCCGGCTGTGAAGAGATGGTTGGCATCCATTTGCGGACTGTAAACCAGAAGCAAACCCTAAGCAGTCTTGAAATGGTCTGCTCCACTAGTGCGTCACGCTCATTTCAGGAAACACTGCAATCCGAGGAAGGTTGCTCGAGGAGCCAAAAAAGACCCTAAGGCTCCCTATGGACCCTAGGGAACCCTAAGGAACCCCAAGGAACCCTAGGGCTCTACCCACACTGCTTGTACTGAAACCAGCCCTCCACCTTTTTCCCCTTGGCCGCAGGATAAAGGGTGACACTTACATGGTTGACCTTCCCAGGCCGATGCCACTGGCTGCGGCAGCAAACGAGTCCTTCAAGGCGGGCTTGGCCTCCAGATGTTTGGTTCTTCCATAAAGCCGCGCATACCCGGAGCTGCAATAGACCACTGAGGCTCAACTACGCGCTGGGTACATGCGGTTTGATGCACTATTATCTTGTCTAAGCATACTCCGCCGTTTTTCCTTTCAGACGGCCCTAGGGATTCCCTGAGAACACATACCCACCTGACGGCTACGGACCGATGCCTTCAGTCAGGCGGCCCGAGCAAGTGGCAAGGGCGATGATGACTTCAGCGCGGTGTACGCCACCGTGCGGCTCCCAGTTTCGACAGGGACTCCCTTGGAACTGGAGTCATTCTGTTGGGTTTGTTTTTGGGGTCGAAGTCTTTGCCGGGGTGGTTTCCCATCACTTTGGTGACTTTGATTGTAAAATCATGGCGCCAGGGTAAGGTTGTCAAGGTGCTCAAAGCCTCGAGATGACCACCACCGGACCGTAGCAAACAATTTGGATCATGTTTGTTCGGTTTCCCTTGACCGACTTTTCCGTTTGACCAAATCCCCGTTGTCCAGTCAAGACGAATGGAGAGCCCTGCTCCGTTGGAGAGAAGCAGACATCTGCGACACGCAACATGGGGGATGGCTTCAGGTGTGAAACACTGGCCCCCTGCGTAGAAAGGTGAGGTTGATTCTTTCAGAGGTCTGCTCAAGGATAATCCTTCAAGTATCTCGTATTAATTATTCCCAGCCGAGAAAGGAGAAACACAACAAAGAAAGCTTACGAAGATTCTACAGGAAGGTAGCCAGCCAGAGGGTAATTACTTGGCTAAATGCCATACAAGCTTCTTATAGCTAGGTTTCCATGATGGCGGAGATTGGCAAAACCGTCATGAGTCCCACCGCCCCTGCTTGAACCGAAGTTTTGGGGGTGTAAACCGCATGTTGAGCAACAGGATCCCTTCTTTTGCAACTCATCCCGATGCATAGGGTGGATTGGCTCTTATCCGGGGTGAACATGACCCGACAGAAGCCTGCAATCACCATCAATCGTAATGGAGCCGGGGCAAATGCACCTTGCTTGAACGGCCCATCCGAGACGAATCAGTGGTTGCAAGAATCTACAAAGGCATTGCTGACAACAGGGCATATAGGTTTTTGTGACAGCGAGTGATATTTTGCCACCCACGGCGACCTCGCACAGTTTGCTTCATGGGTTTCCGCAGACAATACCCTGCTGGCTGTTATTTAGGGAACGAACGTAACACAACATGTCAAGCCATCCGAAGGAGCGAGAATCAGCATGCCCTTTTCCCTTGTCCATTTGTTAAACGGTTTTGCGGCAAACACCGGGCGACCACCCAAATGGAGCTGGCTCGTTTTGCAAATGGGACCCCCGGCTTGGCTTAAGCGACCCTTGGCAGTGAAAGGCAGGCCGTTCTGAACTATGCAAAGCAGGCGGTCCAAACCACCACTAATTCTCCCAGTAGTGCCCTTTCTCACCCCTTGTTTGGGGGAGGGTTCCCCTACTAAAATAGACTACAGAAAAAAGGATACCCGTATTCTAACCTCTCTACTGGAGGACCTACCCCACATGTTCAATCAGGCGGTTCAACCCTGAGGACTATATTCATTTATGCGGAGGACCAGTCCGAGGCAGCCCCCTCATTTATTGATTCCCAAGGAAGGAGGGTAAGTTCCCACTCCTGATGAGGTCCTCCGGAAACCGAATGTGGCAGTACAGCTGGGTGGTTGGTTCTCAGTCGCCCAAAGCGGACCTTTTGACCCTTGGGCTTTTCCCCATGTTGGTTTGCTTTCTCAGTTCTGGCTTCAAAGCTGAGCCTTTGCTCGCGTGTTGGTTTCCTTTGATCCAAAATGCGCTTTTTGAGGTGAAGCAGCCCTGAGCGTCCGACACCTTCAGGTGACCTCTCGTGTCCTCGGGGGTCTATGGAGCGGTCGGAAGAAAAAGCCAGGCACCGGGCGCATAGACCCTTGGAGGGTTTAGTTAGGAGTTTTCGAGGCTTTTCGAGCCCACTGGCTGAGAGATTGGCCAGATTTCGACAGACCAGAGTCGGCAGCGCGCGTGGAAGCGCCGGCCGCAGGACCCGTCCAATCTGCGATGTGGGCTGCGGAGAAATATGGGCTCCCTTGGTGTCGTCGCATTGTTGTGAACAGATTCCGCGAGCTCAACCGTCCAAAGTCGCCCAAGGTTTTGCCCCACCGCTCGTCCGGGGAGGAGGCTGAGGCATGGTGTGATCAGAGTTCGTTCGGCTTCAAGAATCGACAGAATCGGTTTGCACCGCAGCCTTGGAGCTGGCTCTTGCCCCCCTCCTGGCAACACCTGCAGCCATGCTGGTGCGATCTCGAGTTCGGGCCTCAGCCGACAGCGCCAGAGATATCCGTTTGAATAGATGCTCTGCCAAAAAGAAGACAAAGAAAACCAAAGGAAACCAAAGGGAAACCAAAGGGAAACCAAAGGAAACCAAAGGGAAACCAAAGGGAAACCAAAGGGAAACCAAAGGGAAACCAAAGGAAACCAAAGGGAAACCAAAGGGAAACCAAAGGGAAACCAAAGGGAAACCAAAGGGGAACCAAAGGGAAACCAAAGGGGAACCAAAGGGAAACCAAAGGGAAACCAAAGGGAAACCAAAGGGAAACAAAAGGGAAACCAAAGGGAAACCAAAGGGAAACCAAAGGGAAACCAAAGGGAAACCAAAGGGAAACCAAAGGGAAACCAAAGGGAAACCAAAGGGAAACCAAAGGAAACCAAAGGGAAACCAAAGGGAAACCAAAGGGAAACCAAAGGGAAACCAAAGGGAAACCAAAGGGAAACCAAAGGGAAACCAAAGGGAAACCAAAGGGAAACCAAAGGGAAACCAAAGGGAAACCAAAGGAAACCAAAGGGAAACCAAAGGGAAACCAAAGGGAAACCAAAGGGAAACCAAAGGGAAACCAAAGGGAAACCAAAGGGAAACCAAAGGGAAACCAAAGGGAAACCAAAGGAAACCAAAGGGAAACCAAAGGGAAACCAAAGGGAAACCAAAGGGAAACCAAAGGGAAACCAAAGGGAAACCAAAGGGAAACCAAAGGAAACCAAAGGGAAACCAAAGGGAAACCAAAGGGAAACCAAAGGGAAACCAAAGGGAAACCAAAGGGAAACCAAAGGGAAACCAAAGGGAAACCAAAGGGAAACCAAAGGGAAACCAAAGGGAAACCAAAGGGAAACCAAAGGGAAACCAAAGGGAAACCAAAGGAAACCAAAGGGAAACCAAAGGGAAACCAAAGGGAAACCAAAGGGAAACCAAAGGAAACCAAAGGGAAACCAAAGGGAAACCAAAGGGAAACCAAAGGGAAACCAAAGGGAACCCATTGATTTTGCAGACAAAGACTTGCTTTGCCAGGTGCTGAGCGCGCTGCGCCAGAGCCGGCCGAAGCGCGGGGGCTTCGGCTCCCCCAAGGACCATGAGCCCGCCCGGCGCCTCGAGTGGCCGTGGAAAGCCGGCCCTGGGAAGCCGGCCAAGTCTCCTTCAGCATTTGCTCTACAGCGTTCCCGTTTTGGGCCTAGCCATGCTAGCCCAGCAACGCACGGTCAGAAGGCAACATGTCGCCACTGACGTGTTTGAGGAGCTTCTTGCTCAACCGCCAGGTGGGGCAGCTCTGGGCAGGCAAGCAAAGAAGCAAGCAGGCAGGCAAGCAAGGAAGCATCCTTGAACCGCCCGAAGACCCTAAACACAAAACCACCTACCCTACACCTGCCCCGACCCACCTTAGACCTACCCTAAACACCCACCCTGGCCCCAATCTAAACGCACCCGAATCCTACACTAAACCTACCCTTAACCTAGCCTTAACCTACCTCAAGCCATACCTTTTGAAGGGTCATGCATATCACTTCAGAGGCCCATACTCACAGCGTACTTCGCGAGTCGAATGGAACACAGCATACATATCACGTGTGATCCGTGACACCAACGATTTCCGGGCCAAGATTCTTGTCAAACGTGCTGCGCCACTTAGCATCGTATGAGCAACTGTCACCATCACATTCTGCAGGAAAGCGGATGATTTTTACAGAATGAGTGAACGAAATCCTACTTCACTTGGGGACAATTTCAACATTGCATGGCTCATTTGCAGAACTGCACAAATGGTCTGGATCATCTGTGAGATCCTTCTCTGCAAAAATGAAGGGCATACGTGTAGAGAGACTCTTTGAGCGTGCCGCACCTGTCTTTTCGTTAAGCGGTAATTGGATCGGCTGCAAGTCAAAACTAGGGGAGCCATGTGGGACAGTTTTTAGAAAGAGTCAACACGAAATGGATGATTTTGAGGTGTCCCCAGTCGTGACGTATCCATGTCTGACGCGGTGTCCGAAATCGGAGGTCCTTATTGAGGAAACCACAAGGCCCCTAAAGGAAAGATCCTCCAGAGTTTTTGCAGGGCTGTTTGCCCTTCGGGTTGTAGATCTGGAGCGGCACCTAGGCCTGGATCGAGCGGTGGAGTGCGAACCGGCGAGAGGGTCAGGCAAGGTTCGCACGCGCGGATGGATGTGTTGGCCAAGTCATAAGAAGCTCACCTGGCGGTAAAGCGAGCTCACCCATGACGAAGGTCCCTTACTTGGTGATTGCTTATTTCAGAGGTGTCAGTAGAAAGCAATTTGCACAGATTTGTGCAATGTGTCTAGGCAGGGGTTTGGCGATCCCAGCCATGGACCTTGGACACAGTGCTACAGTGGTTTTTAAGCTTGAGTGTAGATGCGTACGCGTTCATTGAAACAAACCTCCTTTGACATTCTGAAAGCTACCTCCTGTTGCAGAAGTCGACGCGTTTGTGTTTCAACGTGTGTATTCCAATGGGTTTCGATTTCCGGGAAGTCGGCGCGATGTTGCGTCCAGGACCTGGTTGTTCGGATCTTGGATTGAAATCTCGAGCGAAACTCAAGAAACGTTGAATGCTGGATGTGCTTCTCCCATTGGGATTCAATGTTGGCTCTGCCTGCGCAGCTCTGCCTGCACAGCTCTGCCTGTGCCTGCACAGGTCTGCGCTTTCCTTGCGCAGCTGCTCTTGCTTCTTTTCCTTCAAGCATTGGCGGTTGTCAAAGCAACCACGCCCTTTTCAATCCAAGTTTGGACCTCGTTCACCACCTCATTCACCACCTGGTTCACCACCTCGTTCACTACCTCGTTCAGCTTGCCTTGCAAATCAGGAGTTCGCACCACCTCTGTTTCCTCCTATTTCTCCTTGTCAGGAGAAATCAAGCCATTGGCTGCTTTTTTTAAATGTCGCCTCACTTAAATCCAAGTGCACCAAACCTGAGACCTTTTCTACGGTTTCATTCTGCAAAGTGCATTTGTGTTTCAAAGCAGACGCTGTAACCTGCAAACAGTTACTTGACACACACGCCTCTTGCATTTGTTTGCTTTACATGTTGCATCCCCATGGACAGTGCCAGCACCAGACGCTCGTTTCCACTCGCAACTTGACTTGGTATGTTTTGCGTGCTGCGTCCCATTGGGGTTTGCGACTGCCCTGTGCGTTTTGCAGTTGGTTGCGCATGCTGCGTCCCATGGGGTTTACACCTTGCAGGCTGCTTTTTGCGCACTGCGATTTCCAAATTGGTGCACTGACTTGTTTGCCTTCCTGCATGCGCGGCGTCCCATGCATGTTCCTTCTTGGTTCCAAGATTGCACTGACTGACTTTTGCGTTTGGTTGTAACATGGAGCCTGAGACGTGTGCATTCTTTCCGGAGGAGCGCTTTGTTGAGATTTCATGTGCATTTTCATAGCAATATTTTGGTGTGTGTGTGTGTGCATGTGCGTGTTGTTGATGGGGCCCTTTGTGATCTTGCGTGTCAGCAAGGGCTACAGAGTGTAGACGGTCCTAGGCTGTGAACTCGGCAGTTGCGTTTGGCTCATGATGATCATATTGTGATTCATAGCCAATGGCCAAACAAGCTCTCACATTGACATCCCACATTCCAACTACATTCATATCAACCCTGATGAACAAGTCTCTCCGAGTTATGACTCAAAAGCTTCACCGAGAAAATAATCCATGCAACAACACAAGACCATGCTCAAGAACTCGGGTTGACAGGGTCGGACCAACCCCTACACAGCATGAAATGTTGCTTGAACAACCTCTTGTTGTTTTCATGTTGAAAGGGACCAGGGTTAATCGAGGAACCGATCAAGCAAATTAATCAACGGACCAATCTAGCCTGCAAGCAAAACTGGGGGTAACCAGTTGCATTTTGCGGAGACACACTTACATACACACATACACACCTGGCAGGACAACATGGACTGGTTCTTCCGCCTGTTCAATTCCACTCGCATCTACGAGGCTCCATTTGTGTGCTGAAGCTCTAGTGCGGCACGGCGTCTATACCCACCCCGCAAGCGAAGCGTGTTTGGGGAGGAAGGGGTGGGACCAAACCCCGACTTGCGGTCTTTGGAGGAAACGCATCATCTTGTCCGGGACTTAAGCAATGAAAGGTACTGCCCCTAAACGATGTTTTTTTGAGGGGTTCAATCCCTTTGTCAATCTCGACCAGGATGCCTCTTTGCTCCGTTAATTGAGACCACCCGTGCTGCCTGCTTGGATAGCAGCTGTGTGCAAATGGTTGGTTTGCTTTTGGTCTTCTTTGGAACATCCCCAAAAAGTGTCTACCAGTTTTGAGATGCCCCCACCTAGCAACTCAAAGGAGTCTACCAAAGATCAAATGGTAAACAATCAATCTATTTTGTTTTGCCTTTGTCTTGCTTTTGTTTTGGGGGGGGGGCTGGCCACCCAAAGAGTCCCAACTCTCTTGTTGTCTACAAACATGAGCTTGCACTCATCTCCTACCAACTTTTGAGGCACTCCTCTTTGGAGTCCCTTCCAACATCCCTCTGAGTGGCGGGACAGCGACAAGCACTGCTAGGTCTGAAAAGCGGCGAACG